TTAATTTGTTTTTAAAGATCGTTTAGTTGGTTGTTATTGATCGCTTAATTTGTTGTTTAAGATCGTCCAGTTTTTGTTAATGATCGCTTTATTTTTTCTTAAAGATCGGTTAGTTTGTTCATAAAGATCGCCTGGTTTGTTGTTAAAGATCACTTAGTTGGTCGTTAAAGATCGCTTAGTTTTTGACAAAGATCGCTTAGTTTGTTCTTAAAGATAATTGGTTTTGTTCCTTAAGATCGATTAGTTTGTTCTTAAAGATCTTTTAGTTTGTTCCTAAAGAACATTTAGTTTTCTGTTAAAGATCGCTTAGTTTATTTTTATAAATCATTTAGTTTCCTATTAAAGATCATTTGTTTTGATCTTAAAGATCATTTAGTTCGGTCTTAAAAATCGTTTAGTTTGTTCTTTAAGATCGTTTAGTTTGTCATTAAAGATCGCTTAGATATTTCTTAAAGATCGCCTAGTTTGTTTTAAATATCGTTTAGTTTGTTCATAAATGTCGTTTAGTTTGTTGTTAAATATCATTTAGTTTGTTCTCAAAGATCGCTTAATTTGTTCTTAAATGTCACTTATTTTGTTGTTAAATATCGCTTTCGCTGAGTATTAAATGACCGAAAACCTGAGACACTTTCGGCCGGATGGCCGAAAGTCTAAGTCAATTTCGGCCGAAACCGAAGAAAAACCGAAAGTTAACTTTTCTCTTTCGGCCGAAACCGAAATTAAGCCGAAAGTTAACTTTTCAGTTTCGGCCGAAACCGAAACTTGGCCGAAAGTGATAAAATGGCCACTTACGGCGCCGAAACCGAAGCCGAAATTCGGTCGGCCTCTAATTGTATCCGCCTTACGGGACTCCAACTCCGGGTTTGAATTCAGAGTTTCCTTCTCTTAGATGAGTTGCCGACCAAGGTTAACGAGTCTCATCCACCCGGGGTGATGTTTTTGCTTGACTGGCCTTTGGCTGGACTTGAATACCAGACCACCAACTTGAGGTTTGCTCAGTTTAGACCATTAAATTAAAGTGGTAGTGTAATAAAAAGTGTTGTAAAATCTTTAATGCAATTTTTAATCTTTTTTACCAAACACACTTTCACTTACTAACTTAGGCCTATTACTAGACTTTAACTCTTACCACTTACCATCTGAAAAACTAGAATCTTTAATTGCAGAAAATTTCTCATGAAGAAGAGCCTCTGTCTCCAAATTAAATATTGACTTATTTAGATAATATAAATCTACCAAAGAATCTAGAACAGTGGCTGAAGTTGGCAATACCACAACAGGATCTTTTGACTTTGTGTCATCACAAGCTTGAAGTCCTAGATCTGTTGTAAGTGGTTGTTTAAGTTTAAAAGCTGCAGCAGTACATTCGATTTCAGTGAAATTTTTCTTCATTGAGTCACCATTTTGAAAGTGGTGCCTTTCATCTGTTTTGGACATAATCACCCGCCCTACACCTGCATGTTCGTTATCAATATTTTCATAGACAAATGGTGTCAGTTTGATGTGGGCAGCATCGCCGGCTTCACTGTCTGGTTGGTCGATGAGATCTAACTTAGATCTTTTCAACTCTGGCTCTTGTGCTTGTAAAGCAGCAAGACGTTCGATAAATTCTTTCTTTTTATTCATTTTGAACGTATTTGTAAAAATGATACAAAAATAAAATATGTTAACTAATAAAATACACCAAGAAAGACATGCTTTCGTTTTAACACATTTCTTTTGTTTACGGAAGTAGCTGAATTGTTGAAAAGTCAAAAGTTGTTTTTGTATTTAATATATTTTTTAGAAACATTCGTACTGTTTCGCTTTTTAATATGTCCCAGTTTAGTCATTTCCATTTAAATAAATAAATTAATTTAGCTAAAATAAAATATAAATTAATTTTAATTTTAATTGTAAGTTGTATTTATATTAATATGTTCTGACTAAATAATTGTATTTATTTTATTAGAAAAGTACAGGCGCTACAAGTAAATTATTTTCGAAGATTTCAGAATACACACATGGTTTTATTTTTATAATATTGAAAAAGTCTTTACTCTACAGAGTGAATATAATATAAATATTATGCAATATCGTCATGGACATGGATTTTAGAGGATCTGATTAAAACATTGACTCTGTTCATTGGATACTGAAACTGAGAGTTTAGTGGGTTTTATGGCAACCAAAATGGCTGCCAAAAAGTTAACTCGAGAAAATGAGATTGAAGTAAGTCATCAACTTCTCTTGTTATTGTTTTTAATTATCAAAATAATCCATGGATTTGATTTAAACAGTGTCTGTTCAAAACTGAAAGAAGGCCCCTATGTGTTAATTAGCTTATGAAACCCATTCTCATTTGTTTTTTTATCAGTGTAGCTGTTGGTTTTTTGGCTAAATCTGAGAACAGTGCCCCATCGTCCTCAAAATTAACCCCTTTTTTTTATTACTAAAAAAACTACAGAGTTAAGTCAAGTCTAACTAAGTCAACTTAACTTAAGGCATTAAAGTGTAACACTTACCTTTAACAGTAATAAATATATAATATTATATAGGCTTGGGCCTTATACTTATAATAACTAAAATCATTACTGTTGAGGCTTTTTTTTTTTTTTTTGCGACCTTTTATTTCAATTACTCCCACTTAGCAGGCTTAATGTAACAGTTCTTATACCTAGCTAGGCCCACCTGTAGATTTTTGGCTAATTTCAATTTTAATGGGCCTTATACTTATAATAACTAAAATCATTACTGTTGAGGCTTTTTTTTTTTTTTTTGCGACCTTTTATTTCAATTACTCCCACTTAGCAGGCTTAATGTAACAGTGCTTATACCTAGCTAGGCCCACTTGTAGATTTATGGCTAATTTCAATTTTAGCCTTGTAGTATGTCCTGTGGTGTTCTATTTCTAACCCGTGCCGTGGCTCCTGGTCCTAAAATACCCATGCCCCGGGATCCTTGGGGAAAAATTCTACAAACTGACATTAAACAAACAAAATCAAAAGATTATAATTATAAATTTTATTTATTTCAATCTAAATTTGTCTATTAGTAGTCCATAAGTATTATAAACAATTTCACGAGGAGAAAATTGTCTTAGAAATGGTCTAAAATAGCTTAGTAAAAGGTCATTTATAGGACCCTGATTTTTCAAAAAAGTCAAAAGCCTTGGACTAGAGGTAGGCCTTGGAACTTGGCTTGGACTAGGGGTAGGCCTTGGCTTGGACTATGGGTAGACCTTGTGTTGTTTTATTTTATTCCCAAAGTACACATTGATAGCACTAGAAGTTGAATCAATCAATTGTCACTATCATTGCCCGTTTGCTTTATTTCAGCCCTTTTTCAAAACACAATAGTAATCATTTGAATTATTTACATTATCATAAAACTACTCTGGCTTGGGTCCTTTAGAATAGCAATTTGCTTATTTTCGTCAAATCTATACATCGAAAAACAGCACTAAAACTTAACAAAAACAATTCATGGGCGTGGCTATTACTGTGACCTTTTGCAAGTCACATGATAAACCCTGAACTCAGTATTTACAACACATTTTATATACGGACTGCCGATTTATGGTAGGGCATGGGAGACCGATATATCGGTCTGGTGGGGTATGGATTTTTAAGGTGCAGACCGATAAAGTGGGATCGCAGGGTCAAAGGGCTAATTGCTAAGGTTGGTGTCCTCAAGTCAGCCCAATGGGCAGTAGTCACAGTGTGGTAACTCATGGTGTCACTCTCCTCAAGTTTCCCCATGGCCATGGACTTCTGAGTCAGCCTGCTCTGGTGTGACCTTGTGTTCTGATGGCACCCTATTCTCAGGTTTCTGTTATTTTTTACTTGAGATGGTGGCACCCTGGATTGCAACCTGACCTGGTTACACCCTGCTGTTAAGGGCTGTGATGTCACCGATGACAATCTGTTCTGGTGGCACCATGTTCTGTTTGCAACCTGATTTGGTGGCATCCTGCTCTTGACTTGTCTTTTAACTCAGTTTAACTGAGTCTGTTTTGAAACCTGGTTGAATTAATTGTCAAATTTTCCATTTGATGTCACCCCCACCCCACCCCATTAGGGTGCACCCTTACACACCCCTGTTCATGCTTTTCCCTAAGCCTGCATAGTTAAGCTTGGCCTTACTATTATTATTAATAAGTAGTAAGTGTTAACTAAGTTAGCACTAAGTTAACTAAGTACTAATAACTATAGACCTATCACCTTAATTAAGTTTAAAGGAAAAAATGGTAAAATTTTATTTTATAATATTTTTTTAGTTTAAAATTATTACAGATGAACAGCCATATTTAGCAGACTAGTATATTCTATTATTAAAAAAATTTAAGTGCATTCTCCACTAAATTGTTGAAAGTTTTTGATGAAATACAAGGGGCAACTATTTGGTTTTCTTTTGTCCATTTCTACCAGAGAGGCATTGCGGGAGGTACGTTTGGGAATCTGCAGTAAGGCGTAAGACCTTCTAAAGCCTTATGATGTGAATTTTAGGGTGTTCTAACACATGATCTAGCTCTGGCTGAAACAGAAGTGCCTTCTATTGTAGGCTTGCAATTAATTGACGTGCATTCAGACCAGGTGGCTGAAACAATTAATTTACTTAGCGCCATATACTGGCTTTTTGGTATACAACCATCATCATCATCATGTCCCTTAGTCCTTGGACTGTTGGGGCACCACAGATGACATATAAACTTTCCTCCTCCATTCGTCTCTGTCTTCTGCACTTCACAAAGAATCGCCTAGTTTTAGTCCCGTCCACTCTTTGATGTTATCTTCCCATTTTTTTCGCTGTCTTCCTCTTCTTCTCCCTCCTCTCGTGCCCTGCATGATTTCTTTGGCGAGCCCTTTTTTCCTTGTCACATTGCCATACCATTCCAGTTTGAGCTTTTTCACTGTCACCAGGAGGTCATAGTACTGCCCAATTGCCTGACGAATCCTTTCTTTCACATGATCATTGGAGATGTGGTCTCTATACCAGATGCCAAGAATGCCTCTGAAACATCTCATCTCCATCACCTTTATTTTCATTTCAAGTTCTGCTGATAATGTCCAGGACTAGCAGGCATTCAAGAAAAATGAGAGGACTAACCAACCATGTCCTTTTCATTAGTTTTTTAAATTTATAGAATTATTCATACTTCCAATTTTAATACAGTTATGATTTTTGTTTCCAGGACTTCCAAGATGCTCTGGATGGACTACCATCATCAAGGTAATTTCATACATTAAATGTTGTTATTTGTTAAATACATATTATGGGAGCCAGAATGATCAATAAATTGATCGTTGGGCCCTTAATAAATAGAAGAAGGGAATATTTTTTTTACAGTTATTCATAAATCCCAGTATTGAGATTTTAAAAATTAAATTGCCTTGATATTTTTTCTCATTTTCAAAATATGTTTAATGTATTCATGTATTGCTTCAACCTTGCATCCATTCTGCTCTTTATACATTCTGGACCAGCCGTAACCATTTATTAACTTTTTTTTCAATGGTAATTTTTTTAATTTAATTTGTTATACCAAAAATTTCCTTGTTTTTTCTCCTAGCACTGGACGTCTGGATCTCGAAACAAGCATTCGGGAATCAGATCTTGCTCTGAATCTTTTTTTCAACAATAAGTTTACTCTGGCAAAAGAACACATGCAACCATGGTGAGTTAATTTAACGCAATAAAAATTTTCTTCATATTTTTTCTCCCATTTTCTTTGATATTTTATTTAATTTATTTAAAGCAACCTTTTTTAAGCTATTAAGATTTTATGTCAATTTTTTACCTGTAAAATTCACAGTGTAATCTTAGTTATTAAATATTTACATTTCCTCTAAATTATTGATTAATTTTCTTCAGGGCTGATAGGAGCATGTACCATGCCTTGGGGTATGGAACTATCCTCTACATTCAAGCTGTTATGACCTTTGATATGGTGAGTGCATTTACAACATTGTAAGTAGGCATGATACTCTCAGCTACTACTTATTAAACATTGCCACTGGGTTTGTTCATTATTTACACATTATTATAAATGTATTTTCCCTGCTCTTGCAAATTCTGCTATCTGAAAATATTGAAAATCACATTCAAAACATTATCAATGAAATAATTAAATGCCTTTTTTTTATATCCAACCTGACTGCTCCTTATTTATCCTTTTTAATTCCCTCGTTGATTTTGTTTTAAAGATTCATCATGCTTCCTTATATAATTAATCTAGGCTGATATAGAAATTGCAATAGAAGCTATAAAGAAATCAGTGATTGTGTGCAACAAATTCCGCAAGAAGTCATCAATCATGAGTTCATTGACCAAGTTTGCCATGAAAGTAGACTATAATGATTTCAGTGAAGGTAATTATCATAAAACCTTTGTGGAGTAATGGTCTCTTTTTTAAATAAAAAAAAGTTAATAATAAATTTCATTGTTATTTTAATTTTTTTTTTTTTGTTAAAATCTGATTGTAAAGATTTTTTTTTAAAACCAACTTTGTTGTTTTACCTTTTGTTCTTTTAACAGAGGAGATTCACGCCGAACTATGCTATGCTGAATGTCTTTTAATACGAGCTTTCCTCACATTTATTCAAGATGAGAATCTTATCAGCTTTGTTAAGGGTGGACTCAAAATAAGGGAGTGCTATAAAATATACAAGTAAGTTACTGTTTTAGAAATTTTTGCGTGCATTTATATGGTTTTGAAAATTTAATCTGTTTTAATATTTGAAGACCTCAAGGGAAAAAACGGCAGAGTCCATTTTTAATTTTTTTGAGTTATCACCCCTGACTTATAGCCAGTTAAAAATAGAAGGTGCTGAATTAATTTTAAAGGAGAAAAAATGGCTAAGTCCATAAGAAAAATGGAAACGAAAAATCCGTTTACAATGGAAAAAGAAGCATAGTCCAATGTTTACAATGGAAAAGGGGGCTAAGTCACTAATATCACGTGACATTTGAAGTCACGTGATTTAAAGGTCCAATGAGAGATAGCTATAGTGTAAACAAAATTTAAAGATGGCGACCGATTCGCTCAGCTGACCGACAAACCGACGAAAAAGTTAACTGACAGACCTGAATTTTTTTAATTTCCTACCACAAGAAAACAAAACAAATTAACATAAGCACGATAAATTGGACTTAAAACATTAACAAAAATAAAATTTGTATTTTTAAATCGCATTTTACCCTTGTTTTGTTATGTTCAGTTAATTAATGTGTGTATCCGTCTCGTCTCTTTCGCTGTCGCTCTAGTCAAGTCTAGTCTATCACTGTTTGTTGCATGTCTGTGTCTCTCCCTGTCAGTCTATCTCAGTTAGTTTGTATATCTCTCTCCCTTTCGCTCTAACTCTGTGTCTGACTCCCCCTGAACTCTTTATCTTCGAGTGTCTGTCTTGCTATCTCGGTCTGTTACTCTTTACTGACTTTACTCTTAAACTTAAGTTCATACAATTACAGCTACTGCTAGATGAAAAAAAAACTAATATTGGGCCAAAATTGTAAGAAGCACATCAGAAACTCAGAAAGTATGATTTTAAATCTGATTTTCAGGTTAAATTCTAAATAATATATTTTTTAATGATAGTTATAGGCATGATCCATATTCTTATTTTAATAGTTTAAACATAAATAATTTCCATAAGGCAGGGGTCATTCGTAAATTACATCACGTTAAAAATAAACTTTTTAGACACCCCCTCCCCTTGTCACGAAATGTCACAAATTCTCCCCCCCCCCCTTGTCACATCACCTAAAAAAATTCAAAACATACATAAAATTTTCATAACTAAACTAAGATATTATTTTATTCTTCAACATTTTTGCATAATGCAGCAGTTCTAAACCTGTGGGTGGCGACCCCTTTATGGGTCGAATGACTCCTTTAAAGGTGTCACATAAGACAATCGGCAAATGCATATCCTCTACAGTTATGAAGTACTAACGAAAATAGTTTTATGGTTGAGGGTCGCCACAACATATTAAAAATAAACTTTTTAGACCCCCCCTCCCCTTGTTACCAAATGTCACAGATTCTCCCCCCCCCCCCCTTTGTAACATCACATAAAAAAATTCAAAACATACATAAAATTTTCATAACTAAACTAAGATATTATTTTATTCTTCAACATTTGCCCATAATGCAGCAGTTCTAAACCTGTGGGTGGCGACCCCTTTATGGGTCAAATGACTCCTTTAAAGGTGTCACATAAGACAATCGGCAAATGCATATCCTCTACAGTTATGAAGTACTAACGAAAATAGTTTTATGGTCGAGGGTCGCCACAACATGAGGAACTGCATTCAAGGGTCGCGGCATTAAGAAGGTTGAGAACCACTGCCATAATGATAACATGCAGTATTACTAGAAAACGAGTTTCTTGGTACCATACTATAATACCTGAGGCAAAGTTGACCTCAAATTAAAGTTTTAAAAATCAATTAAATTATGATTTTTTTAAAGAATTAGAAACTTTTAGAGATGAAAAAAAAGTGACGTCACAATTTTTTACCCCCCCCCCCCTTCCCCCTCCCAAAAAGATTCTCAACCCACCCGCTCTAAGCGTGACGTAGAAACGGTCACTGGGGATTTACACTTTTAAATGAATAAAAATAGTTTTAAATAGATATTTATCAATGATCAAACCTTGATAAATTACTACAAGGGAAAAAACGGCAGAGTCCATTTTGACCCCACTCTCTACTCTAATGAAATAAATCATGTTACATTCAAGTTTGAATTAATTTATCTATTTAATAACTCAGGGAAATGGACACTCTTGTCAAATGCATTTTAAAAATTACATTTTGTTTACACATTTTTAATGTGGATGGTTTTGAACTTTAAAAATCGAATATCTCAAAACAACAAAAATGTGACTCTGCCGTTTTTTCCCTTGTGGTCTTCATTTTGTTCATAGATTGAAAAATATGTAACAAAGGACTGAAAACCAGTATACAAAGAAAGACGATACCAATGCTAGTGATACTAAAATATTAAAATTATTTATAATATTTCTATAAAAATACAAATTAAAATATACAGAAAATAAAAAAACAATACCACTTTCCAGCTTAGTAAGTGAAAAGATACAACCTCGAAGAATACAAATATTAATTTACACACGCATAAAGAGTATAGTATTGCGATCATATAACGTCTCATATATGTCTAGGAAATATAGCAAAAATCTCTACCGTCTAGGAAAGCGCCGGCCTTTTTATAGGGATGAAATCAGAACCCTCTAGTAAAGAAATTCTAAAAATTGAGTCACCTGATAGCATTCTTTAGGAAAATTAGAACATATTCAAATGTAAACAACCTTTTTCCAAATCAAGGGAAAGGCGGGGTTAACACAGCACTACACATTTATTTAGTGGTGGACGCTTTAGCTCTATGTTGAAGTGGGGAAAAAATAGGTCAAGACATAAGCTATACAATAACAGAAATAAACTTCATTTAAGTTTTATTAGGTCTGAATCTTAGAGCATCTAAAAGTACCATGGTAAAACAAAATATTTTTTATTCCTCAACATTATTTTTCAGAGACTGTCACAAAATATTAGAGAACAGGAAATCAGCAACAGACACCCACAGAGTTCATTTTGAAAGTGGAGTATGCATGGGCATTGGAGCCTTCAATTTGGTATTGTTATAGATTTTTTTATCAGTGTTGTTTATAGAGAAAACCAATTTCATTGTGCTTCATATGATCAAACAAATTTCATGGTTTATTTTTTAATTTTATGCAATGACTAAAATTAGAACTTGTCCATAGTTCCATAGTTAATGTCAAATGTTTTAAATTTTATCATTTTAATATGGTCTCTCCTAAATACATAAAGCTAATATGGGAATTGTTGAGCCAAAAGTCAAATTGGATTGTCATTAAACTCCTCGATGTTGTTCTTTTAGCATAACTGTGTTAATCAATCATGTTTATATAATAGAACAATAACTGAACAAGACACAATGCCATTTAGTCTGGTGCCAAAGAGAAATTGGACACTTTAAACCATCTCTATATATCTAGTATGTGTCTAGCTATTTAGTCGGGTGCCAAAGAGAAATTGGACACTTAAACCAACTCTATCTATCTGTGTTTGTGTCTTATCTATAATCTCTTCTTAAAATTTTAATTTTCTTTTGTTTAATATTTTAATATCCAGCTTGATAATTATCTTATTTTGCTCTCTATTCCTACAGATGATTTCACTTTTACCAAGCAAGATTATGAAACTTTTGGAGTTTGTTGGTTTCTCTGGGAAGAAGGTAGAAGTCTCTGAATAATTAATTGATAGGTGTTTAAATATCTTTAACAAAATATATTCATTTTATCATCATTAACTCATTCTTGAAGGCAGTGCTACTTCCGTATGTGATTTATATGCCGGAGCGAGTGAAATAACTCTGTTTTGCAATTGATTTACATTTGGAAAAGAAATTTTAAGCTGATAAATATTAATTAATATTAATGGATTAAGGGGAGGTGCGGGTGAGAAATTGACAAAAATTGCAAATTTTGAATAATTTTTTCTTATTTATTTGGTTTTATTAACCATTTCTTTATTAAATTTTTATATATTTTTTTACAAAATTAATTTAAAAAATTTAATAAATTACACATTTCCTGACCCTACCTATCAGAAAAATGTCAAAATTGCCCTATTTTTAGTGTTTTACCCCTTTATTATGAGTATTTGGAATCGCCTAATCCCTATGTATTTGGTATGGTTGGAAAGATGGTGATTTCGGGGTCAAGATAAATAAAGCTTACAGTCACAAAGAAAATTACAAAAGCAAACGAACCTTTCGATTGCCAGTAATGTCTAGCAAAATTTGGTATTTTCCTGTCCTACTTCGTGTATCACGTGATCTAGCCCTGACCTTTGAATAAAATAAGCATTTTGAATGGTTCCTGTGTAGGAAATCTGTTTGTAAAGATCACTTCCAGTATAAACAAACAGTATCCAATTTCGTGAGACCTAGCAATTTCGATATGTAATTTGTCGGTAATAAAAACATTTGAGGAGTTAAAAAACAACTAAATAAGTAAATAACCAAACAAAATGAGTTGGCTTCGATTAATTGCCATAATAAACACGATTAATGCTTCTCCTTTTCGGAGAAGACTAAGACTGAGTACACTAAACTACTAAGACTAAGCCTACTCCTAGTGCTAGTCGCTTCTCAAGTTCAAGCATCGCTACGCTATTTCACTAGCAGGAAAAACATAGAAAAATACCATGCCTTGGTAAGTCTTAAAGATAAAATCTATTTTTCACTTAGATTCAAATTTAAAGTACGGTATCAATTATTCATAAGGCTAAGCCTATACTGTGCTCACTATAGACCATTGAATGAGGGCTATACTTATACTTTTTTATTATATATTTGTAATAGTAATAAACACTGTTATTTTAGTGATAGTGATAGTGAACTGTACTAAAAATAAAACTTATATAAACAATTTATGAATTTAGTAATTGTGACATTTGACTTACACTGTCCTATATTTATAGCTATTAAAATGGTAATATTAAATGTAATAAATGTTTCATTTTTTTATCGCATCACAAATGACATTGTAATTAGTGTTATTTTATTCTAAAAAAATAAGAGCCCTAACAAATTTTGCTTGAAATACTTGTCAACAAATATGAACTATCAGTCATTAATATTAATGTCATTATAGCCTTATATTTTTGTTGAGAAGCATTCATTAAAAATATCTCACTACAAGTTTATTGTTTTCAGGAATGATTGAGGAGACATGCAATGAGTTTGTGGAACGCAAAAAAAACACAACATGCATTATATTTCCTGTTGATAAACTACACTGATCTGTTGTGTCTAGGTCCATTTAGCCCAAATGACAATTTGTAAATGAAAAAGAAGGAGTGCCCTAAGTATGTGTTCCAATTGTTACAGATTCCTCATCGCAACATATGTTCGATGCATCGAAATAAAAGTAAACTCAGGGAGAGGATGCAAGAGAAGACTAACACAGATTACATCACAAAACTCATGATGTGTTATTCAAGGACAAAAAAAATAAGACAGTAGTTGAAAGGAACATATCAATAATTCCCTTATTTCAACATTGTATCTCTATGCGATGTGATTTTCAACATGACTAGTGTCAAAATTTGCTACAGTAACTAATTAGATTTTACAATGGAGTTATTGCTCATGAGTTTTCTGGCTCACACAAAAAAACTGTTTATATGCTTTTAGGAAAAATACATGTTGCAACTCAAGTGATTCAAAAGTTGTGAGATAGAAATCAAAAAATTTACAACTATCAATATTCATTCGGTCATTAGAACTCATAGAACTTACAATTTTTTTACTAGACCAAGAGTTGCATTTTCAGCATACATGGACAATGCCAAATAACTCTTTGGAATTGCATATTTACATAGCTTAATTTTATGGTTTTGCACACTTTTATAATTCTGAAATTCTCCAAAATAAGCGAATTATTTTTTCGACGAAAACAGAATAATAGATAAAAAGATATCAATCACAGTGACAAGTTGAGTGGTCAGGAAAAAAAAAAAAAGTAACTGGAAAAGGATTAAAAATGTCCACGATAGGCTAATAAAAAGTTTTTATTCCAAATCTTGGTATAAGATTATTATTTTTCAATGATATCTTCATTGTTTTTGTCATTTTTCTTTGTTATTTCAGTTTTCTCGTTTTCAATATTTTTGGTCACCAATATCCCTATAACTTTTTTATTTATTAGCCAAACCTCAACAAATTTTCACAGTATGTTCAATGAATGATAATAAACATTTGAATAACTTAGAATTAAGATAACTATCTTAGAAAAGGAAATATGTAAAAAAAGAATTCAAAAAAGAATTTTTTGCATAAAAAATGGGGTCACAATTTCTGACCCTGTATATTTATAACCAGTCATTACATCAAAAGTCCTGTTATACAAAGTTTTATTATAGATTAAACAATCTATGTTTAAAATCTGATAGCAATAACTTAATATTTGTAAAAGCCTTAGTGTTTTAAAAAACACAACAAAAAAAATAAAAATGGCGGAGGTTTTTATGGGCTGCAAAGGCAAACAATGGAAATTTTTTTTTTTTTTTTTAAACTGTTTTGTACCTCCATTACAATACCAAATAAAGTGTAGGTAAAAAAAATACTATCTAAAGCCAAACAAAAATTTATTTTAAAAAACACAAAAAAAAAAATAAAAATGGCGGAGTTTTTTATGGGCTTCAAAGGCAAAAAATGGAAATTTTTTTTTTTTTTTTTAAACTGTTTTGTACCTCCATTACAATACCAAATAAGGTGTAGGTAAAAAAAATCCTATCTGAAGCCAAACAAAAATTTTAGATTTTTCACCCACACCTCCCCTTAAGGATAGATGCATCCAAAAATGAATAAGGTTTAATAAAAAATATACCATAAACTGCACACACAAAAAAAAAAATGAGCAAATATAGATTTTTGGCACCAGGGATGAACACATGGTAGATATAGGCGCACCCTACTAAAGCACACATAGATTGAAAATGAAACATAATAAAAAAAATCGAATTAAATGGAAATCATGCAGAATCACGTCACTGCCATCTTGGGATGCAAGACTTCTTTACTAATTTAAAATAAAATGAGGGAGCTTTGTCAGGAACCCCCATATGAGGCATTTAGTTGCTGCCATCGGAAATGAGTTAATTTGTGATTCATGACTTTGGGTTGTCCTGTATAAATGAAAAGAAAAACATTAGCCTCAACCCTCACAGAAGTCCTTATATTTACACTTGTTTGAATTTTTAAAAAGTCTTAAACAAAAATGATAAATTAAGATATTGATCCTAAGATATAAAGTTTAAAAAATCTCAAAGAGATTCAGTTGTTTTTTTTAAACTTTCATGTTTGTTTAAAGTTGCAATTCTGTCCTGAGCATGCACTCTAGTATTTACGAAATGGTAGAAGATCTATCCCTGTGATTTACATTAAAAGGTATGGTGTTTATATCAAGAGATGGATGAGTAAATATTTCAAGCTGTAACATTCTCTGACCATTTTAATATCTAATTTATAATGTCATGTTTCTCCAGGCACTGGGATTGACTGAGTTACACAGAGGGTGTGAATCACGTGTTGGCTTGAGGAGTAAACTTTGTGCAATAATGCTGGTGGCTTATCATTCACTTATCACATACATTTTAGGTAAACAGTGTTCAGCGTAATATGTGCTCATGCAGTTTTTATTTGAAAATGTGTCACCCTCTTTAAGCAGTTCTTTTACCCCTGTATTTGAATTTGAATGATTATTTCTACTTAAATGATTTAACTAGAGTATTAATGCACTAGGCCCACCAGATAGTTATCAAATGGTTGGTAAAGATCAGTTTTAGGCTCAGTCGTCTACAGTAAGGTCCAAAATCTTGAATATTTTAGTGATGGTTCTAATTATTTATTTTTATCTGTTTAAGGGTTAGGCGATGGTGATATAGATTTAGCTACTGAAGTTCTAAGTCCATGCCTAAAAGATCATCCTAAGGTAACTATTTCACCATAGAAAAGATATGAATAAGCAAGATGTGAAAAAGAACAAATTTGATTTTTGGTTTTGAGATTGGTTTATTATTTATTTATTTTTAAAAAAAAATAATAATGTTCTGCACTGGGCATTTTTGGCATGGAACTAAGGACATGCATTTTATTGAGTTTAGTCTGTGGACAAGGGAGAGTGCCTGTAGACAGAAAACTTGTGTGTATATTGTTGTCTTTGTTGTACACACTGTTGTCATTGTTGTACACACTGTTGTCTTTGTTGTTTACTTGTAAAGAACTTGGCAGTGACAGAGCTAGAACACAATCCACATTGGTAATGGTGGTTAAATGCTTATATTTTTTTACAGACTGGACCTATTAGCTTTTATCATACATATGTCATCTTACCCTCAGGGGGCCCTGTTTTTGTTTTTCTCTGGTCGCCTAGAAGAGGTCAAAGGTCATATCGATGATGTAAGTTCAATTCTTATCTTATATTTATTTCCCAATTATTTTTATGGAATTCCCCTTTCTTTAAAGATAATAAGTTATCTTAACACTCTGTTGTAGTGCTTCTAGGACCAGGATTCATGCACTACTTCACAAAATTAGCATTAGTCTTAATTGACAAAGCTTGCATGTTGTTTGTGCAAGACAAAAATAACTATTTAACGATCTGTAGTATTTGTGGCCCATCCTGGCGTCTGTGGTTTCATCTCACATGGCTTTGATAAATAAAAGTGGGTGCAAAAAAGAATTATGTTTAGATTGTGATTTTTAAAGTCTTTAGTGTGTGCCCAGTTAATTTTGAATTTAATTCCAGGCCATCAACAGATTTGAGGAATCAATCGATTCTCAAAGTGAGTGGCGTCAGTTTCATCATCTTTGTTACTGGGAGCTCATGTGGTGTCATTGGTAAGTCTTAAGATCCATTATGTGTTGTTTTAAAAACAACATATTTTATAAGCTTAAGTACAGTGCCATTTAATTTGTGGTGATCCTGGTTTAAAAGCCGGAGTAATTGAAAAATGTTTGTTTAGATGAAGAATTGTATGAGGTCAATGTGCAGCATGTCAAGGAGTTACGCAGCTATTTCAATAGTCCACCCATGTTATGTGTATTTTATTGCCATACCTATGTATTGTTTCTCACCAAGTTTCAAAAGTGATTGGCTGATGGCAATGAAGTATGCTGAGAAGCTATGTAAGGAAAGCCGATGGAGCAAAGCCACATACACCTATCAGAAAGCTTCATTCCTTGTTATGTGCTCTGACCAGACAGAGGACACCAAAAAACACATAGACTACCTATTTGCGTATGTATTTAATCACTTTATCATATTATCGGTTATCTTGAAAAGTATATCTCATATCAGCATCCAATAAACTGTTTAATTGGTGAGATACTCTTACAGACCTGTTTACTCCTACGCTCTGACCGGAGTAATACTTTTGTAAGCCACTGACTACAGCACTACAATGAGCCTACATAAACCATGGTTTCATGAGTTTTTCTGGGGGGTTTTTGTGTAAAAATTTGCTGTTTTCTGTAAAAGTTACTATGTAAGTAATCAAATGACAATGATTGGCCTTTACTGTCTTGATCAAATCTCCATGAGCCAACCAGGATACTTTTCTTATAGTGGGTATGTTAATTGTTAATGCTTAATACTACTTTATGTCACACTGTTGCTGTGCTTTCAACTGGATTTGGCCTCAATGCCTTTATGCCTTCATTACGCATGTGCTTTACATGTTTCGGATGTCTTGGTACTTTAAAAAAAAAATGAAATTTCGTACCGTACGTTAAATGCTTTGACAAATCAGAACTTTTTTTTCTGTTCAGTCGACTCATCAACAGATTTAGGGTTAAGTCAAGTGTCAAACACAGTCAATATTTATTTTAATGTAGATTTTCTAGTTTTTAATCATTAAGGTAGCCATTTTAGAAAACTATGTGCCATGTCATCAGCATCAGCATATGCAAGATACTGAAGGGGTTGGTTGTAGAGAGTGCCTATTGGTTTTAGAGAGTGCCTATTGGTTCTAGAGAGTGCCTATTGGTTCTAGAGAGTGCCTATTGGTTCTAGAGAGTGCCTATTGGTTCTAGAGAGTGCCTATTGGTTCTAGAGAGTGCCTATTGGTTCTAGAGAGTGCCTATTGGTTGTGGGTTTTGGATTTCCCTCTTGGATTTTCTTTTCTTGCCAAATTTTAGTTATAAGTTTATGTGTATGAGCGTGTAGTTCTCTTCCTCTGTATTTAATAAGTTCTGCTGTGATGAGGTCTTCTCCCGGGGCTCTGTGGTTTTAGATAGATGGGATTACTTCTGTAGTTTTTTTTACCGAATTTGGGGAGTTTATTAAAAGGTGGTGGTTGAAAATCTTCATCTTTTCTATTGTCTGCGTTTAACATTCACTCAGCCCACCTCTCCAGTGCTTTACTATTTTCCGTAATTAATTCTCCACCCTAGCTCTCACACATTTATCTTCATGTACATTCCTCTAATTTTTCCCTTTCTTGATAAGTCTTCTATTTCTTTTAGTTTAGCTTCTTCCCATTCCCTTTTTTTTCTCCTACACATTTGTGTGGCTTTCCTTCTGGCTTCATTGTATATTTGTCCCATAACCCTATTTCTTGTTTCCCTTTGTATCTGACCTTTTGTGTCTTCGGTGGGAGCATGAATATTTATAAATGTTATATTAAACATTTTCCCTCGAAAATGCAAAGATCACAATCGTTAATTTTCTGGTTTACACCTTTAACTTCTCCGACGAGTTCTTTCTTCACAGCAAATCCTGTTCCAAGAGTGTAGGTGTTGTTGCGACCATAAAATATGGTGTAGTGTTTTATCTTGAGGATGTCTGCATTTTTCTATCAAATTTCTTGCAAAGCACCAATAGAGATTTTATAATTAATTATTTGATCTATCAAATTGGCTAAGGCTCCTGCTCTAAACAGGCTTAGTACATTCCAAGTCGCTATACAAAAATCATATCCAGGCATGGGTGGATTTCCATTATAATCGTCCGGGTTTTATTTTGTTGTTTGGCTTTCATAACATTTATTTTTTTACCTGGCCGGGTTGTTGGCCCAGCACAAAACTGTCTGGGGGCGCTGCCCCTTACAGCTCTCTTGGTAGTTGCCTTAATTTTTGGGTAAGGTTCCCTAGCCTTTGTGATCCCTTCACTTCCTACAAGGCGGTAGGTTCTGATTTTGGTCAGCCTAGGGTATTCTACTTCCCAAGTACCCACCATATCCGGTGGGCTTTCCCCTATCCGCCACCTGGGGAGGTGCTCAATGGAAGATCAATATCTTCACAGAGGCATGAATTTTAGCTTAGATCTGCCTATCAGTCAAGCAAGTCTGTGCAGTCAGTGCCTTTTGAGCTGTCTGTGCAGTCAGTACCTTTTGAGCTGTCTGTGCAGTCAGTACCTTTTGAGCTGTCTGTGCAGTCAGTACCTTTTGAGCTGTCTGTGCAGTCAGTGGCTTTTGAGCTGTCTGTGCAGTCAGTACCTTTTGAGCTGTCTGTGCAGTCAGTACCTTTTGAGCTGTCTGTGCAGTCAGTGGCTTTTGAGCTTGCCTTTTCTGCATGCCTAAGAAACAAAACTAAAACTTGGGATTATATCCGGTATATTTATCTGTGCAAATATTTGATATATTAAAATATTTGCATATGTATTGCCAATTATAGCAAGTACAACCCCCCCCCCTAATTGCCCTAACAACATTTTAACATTTTTGAGAGCTGAATACTTCTGTAACACTACTTGGGGGTAAACAGGTCTGCTCATATGTCTCAATGTTGTTTTTCTGGCTGAAAATTTAAAGAAATGAGATTTGAACATTTGTTAAGTTATTTTTTTTGCTAGACTTTTGTTTCAACTTTAATTACTGAGATAAAGTTTTGAAATATCTCTTGTTAACTTGATGAATTGTTTTCGCTACTGTAAAGGTGTTTGTGTAAAGGGCTGTTTGTGTAAAGGGCTGTTTGTGTACAGGCTGTAGTGCGGATGTTTTTATAAGGGGCTGTGTATGTAAGGGCTGTTTGTGTACAGGTTATAATTTAGGGAATTTATGGACATTCTGTTTATGTATGGGTTATTTATGTAAGTGCTGTTCATATGAGGGTTGTTTATGTTAGGGCTGTATATGTAAGGGTTTTTTCAAACATCATTGCAGTATTAACATATTGCTTATTTTTGGCTAGATCCCCGTCTATATAACAAGATAACATGAATGAGAATTAGACACAATGTTTAAATGAAAAACTTTTTTTTCAGTGATGTTCCACGACTGAAGCAGAGAATTGCTGGCAAGTCCCTGCCGTTTGAGAAGTTTGCGGTTGCAAAATCCCAGCGTTACTTTCAGCAAGGCAACACTCTTATCCTACCAGCATTAGTGAGTACCTAAGACAAGATCACTTTTTTTTATCATCTCCAGCATTAGTGAATACCTAAGAAAAATCCAAACAAAGATCATTTTTTATGATTATAATGTTTCTATGACTGCATATTTATAAAAACACATAGATTGAACATTCTATGTTTGAACTTAAATATTTATTACATAAGCGTATTTCTCATGGGAAAAGTCAAACCACTCTCTTTAATGTCATGCTGCCTTAAGAACTATTATGCAATAGAACTGCTAGATCTTAACAGATTATGTAACAAATGAGTTTGTATATCTTTCTGCCTTTGATGACATGTTACACAATTCACCCACTTGGTGTAGATCTTAAATTGCTGTTATGTGGTGCTTGTGACGTATCCTCCAAATAGTTGTAGTCTCACAATTTTAAAACAATTGCCTTTAAGTATTTCATCAAGTGATGGTAAGTTTATGTTTATCTGTGACTTGTTGTGGATTGATAATTCCTGAGGAGTTCCCATACCGGCAGTGTCAACTGTTTGACACAATAGCAATTAAAAATGACCTGCATGTGAAAACTTATGTTTATAGAGCTTACACAGCAGAGGAGATTCTCTTAGTATTTTTGCACAAAAAAATAACATGGATATGTCTAACAGTTGATTTGTTTGTTTGCTTAGCACTGAAGAGTAACAATGAAATAATATGTTAACTACTATTTCGTTTGTCACATAATCCCAACACTATTATATGTCATTTATCACATAATCTCAACATTATTATATGTCATCTGTCACATAATCCTAACAGCATTATTTATCCTTTGTCCCATAATCCAAACACTCTTATCCAACATGATTTTATTTCAGGAGCTGATCTATGTTTGGAATGGCTATAACATAGTTGGTAAGAATCAGGAGCTGCTGGAGAAAATGTTGGTAGTTATAGAAGCAACTGTTACAGACATAGCCAGCAAGAAAGGTCAGTCCTTTTTTTGTTCAAGAAAGATTGTATTTAACCATCATGAAATTACCCAACCTGGAAAATGGTCTTTTATTTAACAACCTGGCAAATGGTCTTTTATTTAACAACCTGGCAAATGGTATTTTATTTAAAAACCTGGCAAATGGTCTTTTATTTAACAACCTGGCATATGGTTTTATTTAACAATGTGGCAAATGGTCTTTTATTTAACAACCTGGCAAATGGTCTTTTATTTAACAACCTGGCAAATGGTCTTTTATTTAACAACCTGGCAAATGGTCTTTTATTAACAACCTGGCATATGGTTTTATTTAACAACCTGGCAAATGGTATTTTATTTAACAACCTGGCATATGGTTTTATTTAACAACCTGGCAAATGGTCTTTTATTTAACAACCTGGCAAATGGTCTTTTATTTAACAACCTGGCATATGGTCTTTTATTTAACAACCTGGCATATGGTCTTTTATTTAACAAAGTATATTGGGGTTTTTTGTTGGGGTTATTCTTTTTACATGTTTTTTTTTTTTTGACATAAAATTTTTCCAAACTTAACACCTGCCCCAATTAAAAGGCACCATATGTAATTACTGCATATAACGAGATCCATTTATAATGGGATGTGTTCATCTTTTTCCATATTAATACCATATGTATGAACGAAAACATTTATTTATAAGAAAAAATTTTAAATCTTTATAATTATTATAATATTTAAAAAGAACTGTGCTAATATCCTGTCAATGGGCAAAACTTACATTACGAGTTACTGGTGATACACAAAGAATTCTGTCACCAAATTCAAGTGAACCAAGAAGATTGTTTTTATAGGCATTAGAATCGATCGTTTATGTGTATTAAAAATTTGTTACATCTGCATTGATTGAGAACACCTAGTTTTAAGTTGCATTTTTTATCATATATTTCTTGCATTACACGCAATAATATACAGTAGCAGACTGGTTGTACAGTAAAACCTGTCAGAATTTTAAGGGACCCGATTGAAAATATATTATACATTCCTGTAGTATTTCTGATTAAATTTTGTTTTTTAATACATTTTCGGCTGTTACTTTTAGCTCCTCTCTACATCCAGCGGTGAATGGATTGAGAAATATGATTATTTGGGGCCATCTATAATTATATTACGTTTGCCCTGAGAGGGGAAGGTGGTAATGTTGAATTAGGAGATTTTGTGTACGGGTGTGTCGGGGGGGGGGGGNGGGGGGGGGGGGGGGGGGGAGGGGTGTCTAAATATTTAAGTCTATAAAAACAGCCCACTCACGGTTTGTAATGATGATGATGATGGTCATATTGTTTCTTTGTGTTTTCATAATGAAATTGCATGACACAGCAACAGTAATTTTAGCACTGTCACCCTGGTGACAATTTTGGTAAATCCTGTTTTTTGTTGGTTTTTTTGGCTTCAGTGCTATGCAACATAATTTTACGACATAATTATTTCATTTGGCTCAACAGCGAAGAGTGTAAAAACAGAGAAAACTAGTTATTTTTAAATGCATACTCAGCTGTTCCTCACAGCAACTTTGGATTTCAATTGTAATACCGCCATTTATTATTTATTGTATAGATTGAGTTTTGTGCTCCAACTGTTTATCCAACAAGTTTTATTTTTTTGGCATTTTTCTTCCACAGACCTTGCAGCTACTGACAAGTTTTACTATGACAACTACAGCCTGGCATTATTGCTTAAAGGAGTTTGCCAGCGACACAGGGGTCAGTTGTTTCAAGCTGAGCAGTGCTTTATTGAGGTTGTTGCAAAGTAAGATGATTTTCTTTTCATTTATCTAGCTGCACCAGAGCTTTCTACTGAATTTACTATGAGATTATATGGAAGTTTTTTTAATTCTTTTAAAATCTTTATTTTATCATTTTATTTTTCTAGATGTAAGAAAAAAAATCTAAGTGTAAAATATTTGATCAGTTATATTTTTCTGTATTTTTGTTTCAGAAATGTTTTCATGCAATAATTTTTTAACTTTCTTTCTTAATATTGTGTCTGTCTAGTGAGAAAAAATTGCATAGTGACCACTACCTGGTACCCTACAGCATTGTTGAGCTGGCCATTCTGTATCTCTATCAGGAGAGATTTGATGAGACTAAGAAACAGCTGGACTTGGCCAAGTAAGAGTTTTATCCTCTTCTACCCCCAGGCTAAGTATAATATATTTTGATGTAATTTAATAATATTATTGACTCTGACTGATGATACATGATTGTTTAATTACTTATTTTATGTGAATCCAATTTTTCCAATCTTTTACCACAATTAAGAACAAAAACCTGGCACTTACATTTTAAATGTTGTAGCTATATTTAGCCATAAGCTGAAAATAAATATAAATGATGTCATCATAATTCCATTTATTAGGATCAATAAAATATCTGATATCTCACAAGTACCACTTCTGTTAATGGAAAGCAATATAAAAGTTATTACTATCACTTCTGTTTACAGAAAGTAATATAAAAGTTATTATTATCACTTCTGTTTACAGAAAGTAATATAAAAGTTATTACTATCACTTCTGTTTACAGAAAGTAATATAAAAGTTATTACTATCACTTCTGTTTACAGAAAGTAATATAAAAGTTATTACTATCACTTCTGTTTACAGAAAGTAATATAAAAGTTATTACTATCACTTCTGTTTACAGAAAGTAATATAAAAGTTATTACTATCACTTCTGTTTACAGAAAGTAATATAAAAGTTATTACTATCACTTCTGTTTACAGAAAGTAATATAAAAGTTATTACTATCACTTCTGTTTACAGAAAGTAATATAAAAGTTATTACTATCACTTCTGTTTACAGAAAGCAATACAAAAGTTATTACTTAGAGAACCGCCTCCACTTCCGTATCCATGCTATCCGCCTTCAACTTAAAACTGCCATGAACAGTGACAGTGACAACCAGTCCCTGACAGAGCTAGCAGCTCCTGATGCCAAGGTCAGTCCTCTGGCAAGTGAGGAAACACTCTCCTGGGGAGAGGAAGATTTTGTTGACGCCCGTGATGCAACCAAGTGACCCTAGGTCAACGTGTTCATTATTTTATTTTCGTTCATATATTTCTACCATGACGACTATTTTTTTTAGTTCATTCACATGTTCAGCAAAAAAAAAAAAAAATTTTAATTATGTTTGTTATACAGATTGTGTTATTTGGAGAGGGATTTATTGTGAAAATACATTTGAAAATATTCTGTGTAATATATTTTGTGATAGGTGTGAAACAGATATAAAGAAGAATTTTAGGGAAGAACAAGAATCAATTTTTAATAAATTTATGTTATTTATCCTCAAGTTCATTTCATTTTTATGCAAATTGAGATGTCATTGAAATACAATGGTATTTTTTTAGTAAAACTTGCTGCAATGATAAAATGGCAAACCTTATGCTAAAAACATATTGACAAAATTTGCAATGAAACATATCCAAGTGCTTGATTCTAAATTTAAGGTCTTTTTTAACGTTGAAAAGATTTTGAATGTAACATTGAACAAACCAATAATGAACTCTGGAGCTAATTTATTAGTTCAGTGGTCCCCAACATTTTTTACTCACGGAGCCCATTTTTAGAATCAATTTCTACGGGGGAGCCCCTTTAACCTTCCATGTGTCTTACAAGTTAATTGTGTTAGGTGGTTTCTTGGGCAGTCGCATCTCCCCACCCACCCACCCCCTCAAGAAGTGCATGTGGAGCATTGGTTGAGAACCACTGTGCTAGTTGTAAGCATGAACCTACATATTAAAATACATGATCCCCCCAACTTAAAAATCAAACAAGCCAATTTAATCTGTTTATCTGATCTTGGGAAAAGTGTTTTTTTCCCCCATTTGTTGGCATATGAGAATACTATGTTTTACACTGTGATGGTTTCCATGAAGACGTTTGAGATTATTATTATTATATCTATGTTGGGGTCCAGCCAAGATTTCATATCATGTCTTTATTTAAATGAACAAACATTTTTACTCGACCCGTTTGAAATGGAAAACAGATGAGTTTGAATGTACTGGAAAAGAAGTATGCTGAAAAAACGATGTGCTATATACTTTGAGTTTAAGAACTGGTGAAAATGGCTTTGTCCTATCGTGAATCTGTTTTCCTGTTTGAAGATCACTATGTTTTAAAATATCAAATTTTTTTTAGAGTTTGTATTTCTGTTTGTAATTTTCACAATTTTTTTTATAATGTAATATGAAGTCATATTTGTATTATGTTGATCATGTTATCACCTCTGTCGACCAAGCATTTCTGTCTACTAAACACTTCTGTCTGCCAAAAACTTCTGTTCACCAGCCACCTCTTTCTACAAAACACTTCTGTCTACTAGCCACCTCTTTCTACAAAACACTTCTGTCTACTAGCCACCTCTTTCTACAAAACACTTCTGTCTACTAGCCACCTCTTTCTACAAGACACTTCTGTCTATAAAACACTTTTATCCACCAAACACTTCTACCTACAAGCCGCTTATGTCATTCAGTTTTCATTGCCAACTGGCTCTTAAGGGAAGCCACCTCTGTCTACCAAAGACTTCTGTCTACCAGCAAAGTCTGCAGGGGCTATGTATAAGGTCAAGTTTGTGTAATACAGATCCTTCTCCAATCTTGTACAGCATGTCTCCTTTAAATTTCGACGTTTCATTTCCACTGAGTGCTGTCCTGAGAAGTGAGTTTTGGTGGCATTTTATATATGTGACCAAGCCATCATTGTCTATTTTTTATCAAGATCAAATGGATTTTTTCTCTTGTGGATGAAATGATTCAATGCAATAATACCCTAGTCATACAGCAATTCATTTGAACAAAATAATGATTATGAGAGACAGAAGTGTAGTCTAGTGATTGTGAGAGTCAAGGAGTGTAGTCCATTGATGGGGGTGAAGTTTGGCCGATATTACAATGTTAAGTTGTTTTTTTTTCCTTTGAAGTGTGTCATAACTAAAACAGATGTGTATCCTGGAGGCACACAGCACAAGACTCCAAAACTGTTGCAAATAATAAAGTTATCTGTTCACTATGTCCCACTAAGGTCATGTTCTAGTGTTGTCAGGTCCCTGCGCCATCAAGAGCGGCAGTAGCCATCTAGGGAATACCCAAACCCTCAAGTGTTAGAAATGTGCTCCCTTTGAGACAACGCCTGTCAGTGCAAGTTGAATTGGTGATCAATCATTATAATGACTGTAAATCTTTATTTTTATACACATGTTTAAGAATGTTCAACTGTCTGCTACTGTCATTGTGTTACGGTACTCTCATTTTTCTTTTTATACACGTTAGAAAAAATTCTTATTTTAATCTCGACAACAAATCCAAGATTTTAAAACATACAAAAAGCTCCAGTGTGGGATTAATTTTGTATAAATATTTTCCCTCAAATTTGTATTCCTCAGAAGCACAGTTTTTAATTTTCAAGGCTTTGATGAAATTCTTTTGCCATCAACATCAACACTAATTTGAGTTTGCTCAAGCTTTGGCCATCCCAACCCCTCGAAACCACCCCAGCCCCAAAAACTATTCGACCCCCAAACTGCACCAACTCCCAAACTACCCCAAAACCCAATCTGCCCCCCACTCAACCCCCGAAATGACCCATCCAAGCCAACATCTCCTAGCAGTGGGACGTAAGCCACACCCAACCCCGAAACGACCCATCCAAGCCAACATCTCCTAGCAGTGGGACGTAAGCCACACCCAACCCCGAAACGACCCATCCAAGCCACCATCTCCTAGCAGTGGGACGTAAGCCACACCCAACCCCGAAACGACCCATCCAAGCCACCATCTCCTAGCAGTGGGACGTAAGCCACACCCAACCCCGAAACGACCCATCCAAGCCAACATCTCCTAGCAGTGGGACGTAAGCCACACCCAACCCCGAAACGACCCATCCAAGCCACCATCTCCTAGCAGTGGGACGTAAGCCACACCCAACCCCGAAACGACCCATCCAAGCCACCACCTCCTAGCAGTGGGACGTAAGCCACCCCCAACCCCGAAACGACCCATCCAAGCCAACATCCCCTAGCAGTGGGACATAAGGCACTGGTGCAATAAAATTTCATTCAGTTTCCCCCCCCCCCTTTCCCCAGCCCACATGTTGATGTCCAAGTTTTGTGTCATTTTTTTCTTTACTTGATTGATTTGCACATTTTTTATTTGAGGATTTTGTTTTTCACTTTGACCGTGCCTACAATTTGTGATCTGGACTCTTATTTCCTCTCATTGTTTTGACATTATACGAGTTTCTTGTAAAGGAAAAAATAAGTCTTTTAATAAGTGTTCTTTGCTTTGTACATTTTTTTTCTAAAGTGATAAAAACATGTTTATTTATTTTACTGAGCTGTGTTAAAAACACCATTTGAACTAAATGCCTTTCTCATGTGCTCACTATCAGTTTTTGTCATGTTATTTCAAAGTTTGATGCTCAAAGAAAGGACAATAAAAACAAACAATGACAGCACAATCTTCAACCTTTGACTGTTATCCCTATCCTTGTTATCCTTATGCTTCAACCGCTAGACTTTGTTTCCTTTTACATTCAGTGGATTTTTTTCTACATAACAATCAAAGAGTTAATCAATTATTAAGATTGAAAGCTCAAAGAAGTTAACATTTGGTTAATTTTTATTAACTGTTTTATCATTATTCGGGGGGGGGGGGGGTTGTAATTTTACAAACAAAAGTTTAGAAAGTATCAAGGGGAATTTTTAAAAACATTTTTTTAAAATTTAAAATTTCCGCTGAAAACATCAAATACAACTTAAAAAAAAAAAACAATTTTTTTAGGGGGGGGGGGGGGGGGGTTGTAATTTTACAAACATAAGTTTAGACAGTATCAAGGGGATATTTTACAAACATTTTGTTAAAATTTAACATTTCCGCTGAAAACATCAGATACAACTTAAAACAAGCAAAGCATTTTTTTATTTTTTCGTTAAACCTATTGGTTATCATCTAAATATCTAAGATTTTATTCAGTATTGCCCACCATTTTGTTCTTTTGAACATTTATGTTTAACCACCAACAGTAATATCCTTTGTTTTTAACTGGTAAGACCGGTCTGTTGCAATTGATATTTTTCTATCTATTGTTAATGATCAAAATGTTGACTCACTAAAAATGTTAACAAAATTGGTGACAAAACCATGGAGCGAACTGGTGTATTTTTGTGTAACTGTTGAGATGGCAAGTATTTTATGTAAGCAGTTCTTTGATGTTTAATAAATAAATAAATTCACTTACATTTTTGTAATGACCAGCATTTTTTTTAAATATTCACCTGGTTTTCATGTGCAACAGTTTCCACTGTGTTATGCAAGAGTTATTTCCTGTTGTTCCATTCAAACAGCGGGCAACTGTCACCGGACTAAAGTGACATTATGTGTTCCAAACTCAAATAACCCAGCCATGCTGTTTCACAAGCTTATGCTTTTAGACATGTATTCAAGGGCTGAGTTGATAACAATGGAATTTGAAAAGCATGTACTGCCATGTGAATTTTACCTGAGGTTGGGTAAGTTTTAAGCATTTTTCTGACATAACTTCAGGTTGTAAAATTTGTTTTATGATCACATTTTATATTCAAGAGCTAATGTTATTTTCTTTGTCATCTTTACTAAATCTCTTCAAGACTCGTATTTTGTGTTAGTAATTGATGGCGTTTGCTATCCTGAGATCCCCATCCTTATCCATATGACTATTTAAAGCACAGGTCTCCAACCTTTTTTTGAGCTATGGCCCTATTTTATTGGTACCCAAAATACTTTTTAAATGCTTATTAAAAGGGAAAAAGAAAATGCAATAGCATAAGGTTTTTCAGTTCAATATAATTTAAATAATTTTTAGCCTACTCCATATTTAAAGCAGTTATTGAAATTGTAGTTATTTAATAAGTTTCAAAATTTTCAGTTGAGCTTTCATTAATGTCAGCATCAGGTCACTTTCAGCATTTTTTTTCCATGTAAAAAAATAGTGTTGAAAATAGACTTCCACATGGATGTGTAGACGCAGACTCAGTAGTAAGTTGTTATTAAAACTTTACGACACCGATTGAAAGGAAAATTGTTTGAGAATAATTATTTTATTTTATTGCCGGCAACCCCACGGAAAGCTGTTAGCTGGCCTAAATGAGATCACATCCCTGGGTTGGAACCCCTGGTTTAAAGTTATTGAATGACTTGCAGCATTCAGGGGTTCTAGCTACAACAGAATCCAAACTTGATGACTACAGTTAGGTTATGGCCTTGTGTGATGAATATTAACATTGTGATTATTGCAAGGGTCTTGAACCCACTCACTCTCCTGGGGCCCGTCATGTCATTCACATCAAGTACTGTCATAACATAGGAGCCCATGACAAACAAATAAAAAAGAATCCAAAAAGATATGTTGGGGCAACATGTTTCACATTAATTTTAGTTACCAAGTACTGTAAGCATTAGCAACATCAACTCAACTATAATGATCAACCTTACTTATGACTTATCATTGTATTTGTTGGGATTACTTTTTGAGTTACTGGCAATAATTTCTTTGGCATTCACAAATGGTATACAGTTTTTTTTTTATTGCGTCCCGAAAGGGCCCCACAACAAAGCAATCAAAGTCTGACTTAGCTATGACTAAGATGTGACTAAGCTGTGAGCCTCTGATATTTTTTTGTTACCTTCTACCAGTCTTGTCTGTACCAAGCAAATAATGTATAATAAATCAGTTTATGATGATAATTTGTTGCATTCATTTATTGTTTCTTTATGGACCTGGTCTCTTCAACCATATGTTCTGTCACACAACTTGTACACTCAATGAACAACTATACATTCTGTCACACAATTCTTTATTATACTTAAAATCATAGATATTATGTAAATCATAATAAGCGCCCATTTCTTTGATAACCATTGCTTAGTCAGTCGAATGTTAACATTACTGGAATGGTCACTGTATAATATGTCTAGATCTAACATTACTGGACTGGTCACTATGTAATTTGTCTAGTTCTAACATTACTGGACTGGTCACTACTGGACTGGTCACTGTGTAATATGTCTTGTTCTAAAATTACTGGACTGGTCACTGTGTAATATGTCTAGTTCTAACATTACTGGACTGGTCACTATGTAATATGTCTAGTTCTAACATTACTGGACTGGTCACTGTGTAATGTCTAGTTCTAACATTACTGGACTGGTCACTGTGTAATATGTCAAGTTCTAACATTACTGGACTGGTTACTGTGTAATAGATCTAGTTCTAACATTGCTGGACTGGTTACTGTATAATATGTCTAGTTCTAATAATAAAGGACTGGTATTGAATATAAGGGCAACAATTACCTAGTCAATTGCAGTCTACCATGTCAAAAATATTCGATTTTGATATTTTTACTAATAAGTACAGAAACACTGGGTTAACACAGTGGGTCAAACGAAGTGAAATGTCCTAAAACTGTAAAGTCTTGATCAGATATGGGGATTTCCCAAAGTTCCACTAGTTAGAATCAACACAGTGTTTGGGGCGACTGTCATGTTACTCTGTGTGAAGTATTTTCTGAGGACAACAACAATTTGATGCATAATGAATAGTGAACTGAACAAGCCCCTGAAGTCTGGAGTACGTAGGATACATCATCAAATCTTTCAGTTTAACTTCAGAATACTTTATTTAGGAGGCACTCCTCAGAACGGCGATCCCAAGTTAAAAATAGAATAGGCCTATTTTTGGCTAGAAAGTGTCCAGCTACCAGCCTGACAGGCCTATTTTTGGCTAGAAAGTGTCCAGCTATCAGCCTGACAGGCCTATTTTTGGCTAGAAAGTGTCCAGCTATCAGCCTGACAGGCCTATTTTTGGCTAGAAAGTGTCCAGCTACCAGCCTGACAGGCCTATTTTTGGCTAGAAAGTGTCCAGCTATCAGCCTAATAGCCGCCTACAAGTGGTGATGTAATTTTTTTACTTCAAATCTTGTTTACAGACTAATTATTGCTTGTAATAATATAAAATAAACAATACCATGGCCCATATAGCCGGCAGACCGCAAGCATCAATTAATATTTCAAATAATGTTTTGTCAGGAAACATTTTACCAACCTTATGACACAATTCACTGGATGCTTTGGTTAGTGTGGCTTGCTGAACACTGTCTCATATAAAACAGCAATTTAGGCAATTTGACAGAGATAACTTTTGTTTCTCTGCGTTTTTCTTTCTTCTTCTTCTTTTTTAAAAATATTATTTTATTTTAGGAAATGATGAAGAGCGAAGAGGCTGAAGATGAAGAGCGAAGATGCTGATGAAGATTGCGATACTAAAAAAAAAAATGAATACATTTAAGTCTCCAATTATCGGTGGCCATTAGGCTGGTAGCTGGACACTTTCTATCTTTAATTTCTGCCCGCCATTCTGAGAAGTGCCCTTTAGGATACTTCATCAAATCTGTCAGTTTAACTTGAGAGTAATTTAGGATACCTCATCAAATCTACCAGTTTAACTTTAGAGTGCTTTATAATACCTCATCAGATCTACCAGTTTAACTTTAGAATACTTACTTAGGGTAACTCATCAGATCTACCAGTTTAACTTTAGAATACTTACTTAGGGCACCTCATCAGATCTACCAGTTTAACTTTAGAATACTTACTTAGGGTAACTCATCAGATCTACCAGTTTAACTTTAGAATACTTAATTTAGGGTACCTCATCAGATCTACCAGTTTAACTTTAGAATACTTACTTAGGGTACCTCATCAAAAAGTTGACGTCCACCAGGGACAGTTCAACCCACTGGTCAGCTTGGCTTGTTAACTTGACATCCACTTGATTGATCTCACCTATATCTAGGTCATTTACAACTAACTTTCTGAGCACTTCACCAGCAGACAACTGGCCTCTACAATAAGTTTGAAATTTAGATACAAGTCAATCCAATAGTTCAAGAAATCACATCCAGCAGACCATTTGTTAATCAATACCTGTGATGTATGTGGTAGTATTCTAAAACAATGCATCAAAACAATAGAGATTATTTATTATATTAAGACTTCCACAGGTATTCCAGAGGTAACTTCCAAAGGTAACTTTTTTTAACAGTGTAAACTGTGGTAGCAGGCCTGGATATACCCTGTCTAGATTAATCCTCGGCCTGGGTTAGTCAAGGCCAAACAATACCCGGGGCTTAAAATAGCCTAGGCCAGACTAAACGGCAGGGGGGGGGGGGCTAGACCGGACTATATCCCAGATTATACCACCCACCCTGATATCAGTAGTATTGTCCTATGGCCATGTCAAATCGTGGTTGTCCTATGGTCATGTCAGATCGTGGTTGTCCTATGGTCATATCAGATTGTAGTTGTCCAATGGTCATGTCAGATTGTAGTTTTCCTATGGTCATGTCAGATCATGGTTGTCCTATGGTCATGTCAGATCGTGGTTGTTATATGGTCATGTCAGATCATGGTTGTCCTGTGGTCATGTCAGATCATGGTTGTCCTATGGTCATGTCAGATCATGGTTGTCCTATGGTCATGTCAGATCGTGGTTGTCCTATGATCATATCAGATTGTAGTTGTCCTATGATTGTCAGATCGTGGTTGTCCTATGGTCATGTCAGATGGTGGTTGTCCCATGATCATGTAAGATTGTGGTTGTACTATGGTCATGTCAGATCGTGGTTGTCCTATGGTCATATCAGATTGTAGTTGTCCTATGGTCATGTCAGATCATGGTTGTCCCATGATCATGTCAGATCGTGGTTGTCCTATGGTCATGTCAGATCGTGGTTGTCGTATGATCATGTCAGACCGTAGTTGTCCTATGATCATGTCAGATTGCGGTTGTCCTATGATCATGTCAGATTGTGGTTGTCCTATGATCATGTCAGATTGTGGTTGTCCCATGATCATGTCAGATTCTGGTTGTCCTCTGATCCTGCCAGGATGTAACTGATGGCCCGGAAGTAGCAATTCCCATCAACCTTTGGTTTTATATGTAGCCTACCCCATGGTTGTCCAAAGTTCCTTGTGCATCCATGAGTACACAGTCTTATCAACAGTGAAGTCAAGAATGATGATGAGATACTTCCTTCTTGGAATCCGTACTGGGCTAAAATTCTAAGTCTGCTTGTGTTTCTGGGAGATGCCTTTGTCATCACTGTCTGTTTCTTCACTTGGGCTTTTGAGTTTATTTTGTTTGTTGGCAGAGTCACTGAGATAATTATCAGGGGGCTGGGGTGGTGGAGAAGCCTCTTCATCATGGTAAATCCTACTTTCTGCTCGACATGGCTTAGCTGTATGTCTGAAATTGACCTTGGCATTTAATCTTTTCTCCGGAGGTAGATCGTATATCAACTTGGGGGTGGGGGCGGGTTGTGTGTGTGTGTACTTAAGTTGTTGTGCAGAGTAGAATCATAAAAGTTGGTCACACAGTTGGTTATACTTTTGGTAATATATTTGGTCTTCCACGGTTGTCAAAATTTTCGCAGGATGGTTTGGGGAAATATTTTATGGGGTAAAAAAATTTTCTTTAAACCATGAAATATGATAAAATGCCTTAAACAACATTGGCGAAACCCAACAACGTTGCCTCCACTTCTCGTCTTGTCCCACCCTTTTAAAAGTAATGAAAGAAAAAGTGAATCGAGTAGAAAAAAAAGGATAAGTGCTCCGGGATGTTTGTACCTCGCAATTCATTTGCTGCCCTCTCTACTACTGGTCAGGAGAGGTATAGTCTGACCAGGAGAGGTACAGTCTGGCAAGGAGAGGTACAGTCTGACCAGGAGAGGTACAGTCTGACCAGGAGAGGTACAGTCTGGCCAAGAGAGCTATAGTCTGGCCTTAGACTTTAAAGATTTAAGTCAGTCGGGTTTCTCACTTAACTTACCTGACAAAGTGAACTCCCAATAAAATGTTGATATATTAAGAAATTCATGTTTATCTCTGTACACTACTGATATAAGATGGGGTATAATCTGGCCTGGTGGGGTATAATCTGGCCCGTAGGGATATGGTCTGGCTTGGGTTATTTTAATTTAATATTCTTCTCTCTTTCCGTCTTTCTCTTTCTCTTTCATTCTATCTTTCTACATTGTATCTGTGACAAGTCTCAACAGATTATGATGCTAAACTTAATTGTATCTGTGACAATATCTCAACACATTATGATGCTAAACTTCATGACCCGGGCCAGTTTAACTTTTGGGGTTTACTCTGGCTGATTAATCTGGACAGGGGAATAATACTCTGGCCTCCATCAACCTTTTGTTGTGAAGCTGTGCACAACCTTCTTTATGAACATAGCAATACTTACTCCATTATTTCTGTCCATCCAATGCCACCATGGGCTCCTCTCAACCGAACACTCAAACAACCATCAATGGAGTTCATGTTTGAAGACAATGTCAAAGTTATCACATAATGATGAGCTGGACAGAAGAAGAAAATTTTAAAATATCTTTCATTTTTGTACAATCACTTTAAATTTATTGCATTGTGTGAGTTTTTTTTAAGATGTTAAAATAATAACGATTTTTATAAAAAAAAAGGAGATAATTTTATAAAAAATGAAAAACTCATAAAGGACTTTGCACAAGGAGGTATGGGTGGTTTATCATTTTGTTATATCGTGCTATACGGCGTGGGGCTGGTCGAGAGCAATGTTTTATAACAATTCTTTTTTTATTATTATTATTAATTCTTATTATTGCAAAACTTCTGCTTTTCACATGTACAAAACCAACTTAGATTATTAAAAAATAAAATGTAAGCCAAAAGGCTTACAATAATTTGCACATTTTTATAAAAAAAATAATTTGTGGCTTTTTAATTGAGCTTTGTTTGTTTCAGCTTGTATTTGGACTTTATACTGTTTAAACGGTGTGTGTGTGTTGGGGGGGTGGGGGGGTGGTAGAAATTTATATAATATCAGGGGGTGGTCAATGGACATTGTCAAAATAGTCTGGTTTCTCTAGCCGAGATCCTTGGAGTATTTCTGGCAATTTTATCTATGGTACACTATAAAACTGTCAAACTATGCATTAAGAGTTGTGCACCTGGAATACACAACACAACAACTCTTCATGAAATAATATGGTTCATCTTTATACTTGGTATCTGCCACATAGATCCATGTGGTTGAAATATGGCCTCATAAACAGGATCTATTACCAAGCAAGGACCAAACTATCACTGACCAACTTTTTATGAACTCTCAATCTCTTACATTATATTCACACACTTTATTTTGCTTTTTCTGTTATCCAATGAGCAGTTAGCCACAATAATACAACTCATGTCATGATTCACTTACCAAAAAGCGTTCATCTTAACAACAATGATTCTCATACCCTTGACATAAATAAAATGTAACATAAGGTGTAGGGGGTGGGTCAAAAATGTCATATGTTTGTGTTACATAAGAATGTTCATGCCGCTACTTTAAAAGTTCAACTTACCACAAAAAGGTGCTGTCCCTGTTGTGTTGAGGAAAAATACCCCACTTGGTCTAAAAATTGTGTCAGCTTCAAATCCCATGACGAGACATGGCCAGTTACCACATCCAACACACTCTCCTCCCCAGAAGCTCTCGGCAGACTGGCAGGGGAATGCCATGAAGGAACACTGGTGTGAGCTGTTAGAAGTGCTGAGGATTGATGCTATGAAAAGTTCTGCAGATCTTTCATGGCTGCAGCTTAAGTGTACTTCAGCTCCTAGCAGTTAAAAAAAAATTAAACATATTACATCACTACAATCAAGAATCATTAAATAGCTTTATGAACCAATGATGTAAATGTCTGTGTGGGTAGTTTATGACAATGTGATATGTGCTGTGAGTATTTGTATGCATTTGCATGTCATTTACCACTATAAATGAGGGAGTGGGGGCTCTCCAAACATCTATTTTGCAATTTAATCTTATGTTTAATATAATTTTCTCACAGTTGATTTAGAATTGTAGAAGGGTGGGCAAAAAGGGATTGTGAGTCCCATTGGGGGCTCATAGAGTCAGAGTCAAAAAGAAATTAAAGTGTCGCAAAAGAAAAGAAGGTACAGAGTTGCAGGAATTTTTCTTTTCTTTTTAAAACCGCGGTTACGTTCATAGTCAAGTTCTTCTTTGTCCAGAGTTTGAATTTATGACAGGTGCTATGAATCTCTGACTTGCTACAGGTGATAGTTTAAAACAATACAAGCTGATGGTTACGATACATTACTGACTTGTTATCCCATTACTCAAAACATCGCCAACAAAGTCCAACATGGAGTTGTCTTTATAGCAGCCAGGTTGATCGTAACCTCCATTGGGATAAAAGTCAACATGCCCAACAGGTTCCATCATGCCATAGCCTGGAAATGACACAACAAATAATGAATAATTGACTCGTGGATAGAATCAAATAATAATGTACAAAGTACAGTAAATTTATAAGAGACAATTTTTTTTGTGAAAAATGTATATTCTTTCTCGTTTTTAGTATTGGAAAAAAAATATTTTATTTTTAAACCAGTAGATGTAACATTTTTCATATGTAATAGAAAGGGATGGGGTTTTATACAACTTAAGATCCATTGGTGCAAAATGCGTTTGAGGCCTGAACAATCCATACCATGGCCATACATTTTAAAGTAATGTCTTGAGTGGAAAATCTAATGGATCAGAGTGTGAAAGATTACTAGTGCATTAGAAAGAGGGCTGAAGTCTTCCAGACCAAATGCATTAGAAAAATAGATAGCACCTTGTGGCCAAAGACAATCTCTGGTGAAGGACTCAGCTCCTGGTGTAGCCTGGAGTTTGAGGAGGGTATGTTTTCTGCGGAATACCTTCTGTTCTTTTGGTGGACAAAAATTTGGCATTAATTTTGATACCATCTGTGGAGTTTAGAACTAAGATAAGAACAGTATATCCTCAGCACAGTTAAAGACTACACCACTGTTCATTGCATGAACCATACAGGAACAGCACAGGAGATTGGTTGGCCATGTATGTAAGATGACACAGAGCTGACTTCCTGGGGCATTTCTAATATGGACAACCTGGGTTGAAGGAACCCACCAAACACCCAAAAGAACCTGGTGTCGAACAAAAGAGAAAGAAGAGGGCGACAAGATAGACAGAAATGGCAATCATTGGCTACTTCTTCAAGAATCAGACAACACATGAGATCTGAATGAAGAAAGAAGAAATTTTAATCCTAAGGATCCAAAAAAAAGTGTTGGAGAATCCAAAACAAACCTAAAACATCTCAGATGACAAAACTTGCTACTGCTTACCTCTGACAGTATTGAAAGGTGAAGCATCTGTATGAATAATGTCCACAAACCTGGCATCTGAGCCATCCAGTCTCACTGCCTTGTCGTAGCCTGAATAACTGGGCTGGGCGGGGTCAAGACCTGTAAGGAAACTCCTGCCAAGTTAGTCAATTCCTAAAAATAAAAGCAAGTTGTATTACAAGACGATGCATAACTAAGTCAAACCCGCATTAGCATAAATTCATGGGATATAAATGATTTATTGATCACAGCAAAATTGAATTAATTTTCTCTCAAAGGTCTTTTTTTTCTCCCATTTCATGCCTGACTTACACTGGCTTGCTTTATGGGAAAACATCTTCCTACTTAACCAATGCATGATGATGCATCTTTAGTTGATGGTGTTTTACTATAAAATGACCACCTTTGTGGTATCTTGTGGCCAATCAAAGTTGTTTTCTTTATAATGATTATCATGAATCTGAGTTCTGGGGTAAATTATATAAATGAACTAAACAAATATTGCTGAATGTTTTAAAAATAATTGAGTTAACCTGTAATCCTGCTGACACCCTGCAGACTGGCCCCAACGTAACCAGCAGCATGTGCCCCCAGGCTGTGGCCAATCAGATGAACTTGTTGAGTTGTCATCCCCAAGACTTGCCTCAAAGTTTTCAAGAAACGAGTCGTCTCAGCTCCCACAATTCTGGTGTTGGCAACAGCTCTTGAGTATGGAAACCCAGCACCACTACTCCAATCGACAATGATGACATTCATGGGACTCTGGCGTAATCAACAATGATAATCATAGGAATCTTAAGTACTCAACAATGAAGTTAACAGTTAATGAGAATCAAAAACATATCAACAATGATATCAATGGGAATCAAGATTATATCAGCAATCAATTTCTCATGAAGCTGAAGTCTTTATTAAAATTGAAAACATTTTTGTTTGCTTGCCATATATGTGGTTAGTTTTGTCTGATTTGAAGCTTTCAATTAAAGAGTTTTTATATTTTAATACAGTATAATCTTAACTAGAGTCAGATCCAAAAGAACTAACTACAAGAACTGAACTTCACACCTTTACACCATTCAAACAAAATTTTTGGCATGTTCCGACATGGCCTAGCCAACTTTTTACTTTGTTTAAAATAAATATCACAAGGTTTTTGATGACATTGCAAGAGCTGGCACAGAATACCAAGATGAGTAATGTGATGATTTTACATGAGCTAGTGGAGAATAAAATAGTTGAGTAATATGATGCTATTACATGAGGTAGTGGAGATTAAAATATTTGAGTAATGTGATGTTACATGAGGTAGTGGATATTAAAATATTTGAGTAATGTGATATTACATGATGTAGTGGAGATTTAAATATTTGAGTAATATGATGCTATTACATGAGGTAGAGGAGATTAAAATATTTGAGTAATGTGATATTACATGAGGTAGTGGGGATTAAAATATTAGAGTAATGTGATATTACATGAGGTAGTGGAGATCTAAATATTTGAGTAATGTGATATTACATGAGGTAGTGGAGTTTAAAATATTTAAAATATATTAAAATATTACATAATTTAGCAGAGCTCTGGTCATATTGAGGAGATAATCCATTGCGCCATATTGTAAGAATCCATGGATCAATATCTTTACAGGTAAATTAGCATCATAGTGTGATCGCTTGATACTTGACCTGCAAAGATGAGATGTTCTTAGAATGTGATTGACAATAATAATAGGCTTACTTAGATCTACAGCTAAAATGGATGTAGCTCATCTAGGAGGTGAACTTATCAAAGATCAGATTGCTGAACTTTTTTGGAATAAAGCCAATAAAGGGGTTGTGTTGATTTGACTAGTATTATCCATTTCATGACACATGCATAAATTGGCATAATTTGATGCTAGGGTTGAGTGATTTCATGCTTCATGTCTATGAATTATTAGCAAATAATCGATATTCTGCCTTTTCAGTCAGTTTTTATAATTGTTAAGTAAAGACTGATGTTGCTTTTCGGTGCAACCCTAATTAATTACTAATTTCATAAAATAATATTCAACTAAAAAGACAATATCTATTAATAGACATTGAAAGAGAAAATATAGATTAATAAAACAATAAACGGTTAGAGAAAATATCCATTTTCCACACCTTGCAGCATTTAATTAGTACATCACCCTTGAATAGGTTTCTGTGGGAAATGACTTTACTAGACATTTTTAGTTTTGGTGAACATAGACAATGGTCACCCTCTTGAAAATTGTGGAAGTTCAGAATTTCAAATTTTGCGCCTGTGTGATGATCACGCATCGTACCCGTCTTGAGCCGGCCCTGGTTGTTCATTAAATGATGTCTGCAGATAATAACAATCTTTTCTTTTCCCCATGGCATGATGTGAGATGTCCATGTGACAACATTATTAATTTTCCCCCTCCGGTTGCGGATGACCGCATAGGGAATTATACAGTAAAAAATGTCAGGAAACTTAAAGATTATTATAAAGAGCAAAGTCACTCGATTTAAACTTCTAATTAAGTATAATAATAGTCAACCAGACCTGAGAATCTGAGAAACATTTTTAAAAGCCCATACGTGCATTTGTTGATAAATAGCAACCAATTATTTAGAGTGGTCTCCCTCCCTCGAAACTTTTTTATTAACTTCTTTCTGGTACAAGATTGTAATTATTATTATTTCGCAAATATAACAGCGAAAGGCAGCCGGTCTGCACAACATTAGTCAAGAAACTGGTAGAAATGTGAAACTTATCAATGAAAAAAACCCACAAGTCAAGACTGAATCAATTTAACGAAACATTTTTTGGCTTTACAAAATCCTGCCTAAATTGGAAACCTCAAAAAGTTTCCATCGAAAAAAGAGGGGATGCCACATAACACACACAAAACTAGTTGGACAAGGGGACTGAATCCACGTGACCGAAGGGGGAAGCACTAATGTGTGGTCCTTTTCGGCTCCTTTGGTGTCCAAAAAAAATGTGCTCTAAAATAGAGTCTAACCATGAATGACGGGGTATTTTATGGAAATAATGTAGCGGATATGACGATCCACCACCATGACATCACCAGCACGTTTATGGAGTCATGTCAAAGCAGAAATGCTGAACTTGCTGAAGTTCTTCTCTCATTTCCTTCAACTTAGCGATGCGAAACTGGCTTTTCGTCCATGGGCATCATTAAGATAAAGGACAGGAACAGACAGGATATCTGTTGTTGTTTTTTTTTTTCTTTGAACTTACCACTGTTTCCAACCCAGTCGTGATTTGAATTGCTTGCCAATAAAAAATTATGCTTAGATTTCTCAGTAAATAGTTACCATTAGCTGAAATAAAAATTTTCTCCAATATTTGGTTGTTGTTCCACATTACAGCTTAAGGTTTGAAACTTTAAAAAAAAATATTTTTCAAAGCTGCCTTAACGAAAAAAACAAACAAATTTAAGGAAAACAACAACAAAAATCTCCAAAAAAACGACGGCCATTAAATGGTGATCGTACGGTTCTACCGATTCGGAGGATTGTGGATTACAAATTATAGTGAGGGAACTATTTAAGGTAAATTAAAAAGAGCAATAATTAATTAATCTGGCACCGGTCCCTGGTACAATAAGAAACTTGTCCACCGGTAACTGGTACAGTGGGAACTTATCCACCGGTAACTGGTACAGTGGGAAACTTGTCCACCGGTAACTGGTACAGTGGGAACTTATCCACCGGTAACTGGTACAGTGGGAAACTTGTCCACCGGTAACTGGTACAGTGGGAACTTATCCACCGGTAACTGGTACAGTGGAAAACTTTCCAGCGGTAACTGGTACAGTGGAAGACTTTCCACCGGTAACTGGTAGAGTAGGAAACTTGTCCACCGGTCCATGGCACAATGGGAAACTTGTCCACCGGTAACTGGCACAATGGGAAACTTGTCCCCTGGTCCGCTGAGCTTTAAGGTTGGTGAAATGCTACCATGGAGAAGGTCAGCAATTCAAACATTTTAAACATATTTGGAATAAACGCAGCGGGTCTAAAGCAACATATAAAATTGCTAACTTGTGGATGTCCAAAACATCCTTTACACCCCTACAACCCCCCCCCCCCCCCCCCCCCCCGTCTGCAGTGGTCCACTTTTAAACTAACCCCATCTCGCATCTTTGCGGAAATCCTTTATCCACGACCCATATTTTTCAACCCCTATGTCACGATCCTTATGTCATGACCCTTATGCCACGACCCCTATATCACGATCCCTATATCACGATCCCTATATCACGATCCCTATATCAATCACGACCTTTATATCACGACCCCTATGTCACAAACCCTATGTCACGACCACCATGCCCTGTTCATTCGGAAGATCCCTATGTCATGTTCATTTGGAAGACCCCTATGCCGTGTTCATTCGGAAGACCCCTATGCCCTGTTCATTTGGAAGAACCTATGCCTTGTTCATTTGGAAGACCCCTATGCCGTGTTCAATAGGAAAATGATTGAGACAGAGAATAGTCGGACACTTCATCCAACCTATTTTTAGCATCAATTATGTCGGGCACTGTTGGATTGGATCTTGTATACAACAGGAAAGTTGTATCGACGTCAGAAGGATGTTGTGGTAGCCATTGGCTGTTGTTAAATGGTGGATCCAGAGTGAAGCAGCCCAGGCCTGGGTATTTGACACCTCGGCATCTGACCAGTCTGCTTGACCTGGTACCTGCTGTAGGAACATTGGTTTAAATGTGTGATATGAACATTTATGTAAATGTAGTTGCGTGATATGAACATTTATTTAAATTTATTTGAGTGATATGAACATTTATGTAAATGTAGTTGTGTGATATGAACATTTATGTAAATGTAGTTGTGTGATATGAACATTTATGTAAAAGTAGTTGTGTGATATGAACATTTATGTAAATGTAGTTGTGTGATATGAACATTTATGTAAATGTAGTTGTGTGATATGAACATTTATGTAAAACATCAACACACTATACTTGTAAATACATTTACATGTTGTGTGATATGAACATTTATGTAAATGTAGTTGTGTGATATGAACATTTATGTAAATGTAGTTGTGTGATATGAACATTTATGTAAATGTAGTTGTGTGATATGAACATTTATGTAAATGTAGTTGTGTGATATGAACATTTATGTAAATGTAGTTGTGTGATATGAACATTTATGTAAATGTAGTTGTGTGATATGAACATTTATGTAAATGTAGTTGTGTGATATGAACATTTATGTAAATGTAGTTGTGTGATATGAACATTTATGTAAAAGTAGTTGTGTGATATGAACATTTATGTAAATGTAGTTGTGTGATATGAACATTTATGTAAATGTAGTTGTGTGATATGAACATTTATGTAAATGTAGTTGTGTGATATGAACATTTATGTAAATGTAGTTGTGTGATATGAACATTTATGTAAATGTAGTTGTGTGATATGAACATTTATGTAAATGTAGTTGTGTGATATGAACATTTATGTAAATGTTGTTGTGTGATATGAACATTTATGTAAATGTTGTTGTGTGATATGAACATTTATGTAAATGTAGTTGTGTGATATGAACATCTATGTAAATGTAGTTGTGTGATATGAACATTTATGTAAATGTAGTTGTGTGATATGAACATTTATGTAAATGTAGTTGTGTGATATGAACATTTATGTAAATGTTGTTGTGTGATATGAACATTTATGTAAATGTAGTTGTGTGATATGAACATTTATGTAAATGTAGTTGTGTGATATGAACATTTATGTAAATGTAGTTGCGTGATATGAACATTTATGTAAATGTAGTTGTGTGATATGAACATTTATGTAAATGTAGTTGTGTGATATGAACATTTATGTAAATGTAGTTGTGTGAATACTTGTAAATACATTTACATCAACACACTATAGAACATTTATGTAAATGTAGTTGTGTGATATGAACATTTATGTAAATGTAGTTGTGTGATATGAACATTTATGTAAATGTAGTTGTGTGATATTAACATTTATGTAAATGTAGTTGTGTGATATGAACATTTGTGTAAATTTAGCAGTGTGTGATTAGAACATTGGTGTAAAAGTAGTTTGCGGTTTCAACATTGGTGTACATATTTGTTGTGGTCGGAACATTGGTGTACAATTTGTAAATGAAGTCGTGTTATATGAACGTAGGTGTAAATGTAACAATGTGTGATAGAAACATTGGGGTAAATGTAACAATGTGTGATAGAAACATTGGGGTAAATGTTACGAACTGCGTGATAGGGATATTGACGCAAGTGACCAGAATAGTTCAAACGATTTACTATACGTTTATAGTTCAAATTTTAAAGTTTTTTTTTTTTTAATAGACTTAACATACGTCCCGGTTTAGCTTTCCATTTTAAGTTTCAGATTGGTCGAAATAAATGTGTGCCGTCTATGTTAGAAAGCCCCGTGAACATTCTTGATATCAGAGTCAGATTGGTATCAAATTCCCAATTTTTATTGCAACCAAGTCTAAATGATATGTGTAAAAGACTCCACAAGTTGTGCTAGGCAACGTGCGTTTATTGATGATGAAATCCACGGGTAAAATTGAGGCCTCTTTAGACAAGATTAATAAGAGGCCTGTAGATAAGAGGCCTGTAGATAGGAGGCCTGTAGATAGGAGGCCTGTAGATAAGAGGCCTGTAGATAAGAGGCCTGTAGATAAGAGGCCTGTAGATAAGAGGCCTGTAGATAAGAGGCCTGTAGATAAGAGGCCTGTAGATAAGACGTCTGTGTGAGAGACCTGTAGATAAGAGGCCTGTAGAAAAGATGTCTATATAAGAGGCCTGTAGATAAGAGGCCTGTAGATAAGACGTCTGTGTTAGAGGCCTGTAGATAAGAGGCCTGTAGAAAAGATGTCTATATAAGAGGCCTGTAGATACGAGGCCTGTAGGAAATGTATCTATATTAGAGGCCTGTAGATAAGAGGCCTAGATAAGAAGCATGTAGATAAGAGGTATGTAGATGAGAGGTATGTAGATAAGAGACTTGTAGATATGAGACCTGTATATAAGAGACTTGTAGATAAGAGGCCAATATAAGAGACCTGTAGATAATAGACCTGTAGATAAGAGACTTGTAAAAGAGGCCTGTAGGTAAGAGACTTCCTGATAAAAGGCCTAGATAAGATAGCTGTAGATAAGAGACTTGTAGACAATAGGCCTAGATAAGATACCTGCAGATAAGAGGCTTGCAGATAAGAGGCCTGTAAGTAGGAGGCCTGAGCCAAATGTTTCCTCCGCGACATTTGCATGTGGCTTCCATATTCAATTAAATGTCTCTTTTGTGAATGCATTTATATTTTTCCCTTAAATTTATTTCAAAAATCTTATTCACGCTTAAAAATGTAGTTTTTTAAGGGACTTTTCTCCCCCTGAGACTAAGTAGGTCACACATAAAGGCCTGTATTATCGCTCACACCCAAAAGGTTTCGTTTGTTTCAACCATGTACTCACCAATCATCCTGGACTCGGATGCCCCAAAAGCACCAATGAACAGACACCAACTAAAGAATAGCGTGCACATTGTCATCGGTCAGAGCTGTTTACTTCTATTATCCCACGCTCTGACCTCCGCTTCTTTTTGCCGGAGCTCCTAGGGACTTCGACTTCTACTGAAAATCCGCAGGTAGATGGCGTAATCTGTTGGCACCTCGCCCCATTAGAATGGCAGTTGTGCAACAAGAAAGTGAAATGCAGGTAGATGGCGTAATCTGTTGGCACCTCGCCCCATTAGAATGGTAGTTGTGCAACAAGAAAGGGAAATGCAGGTAGTTGGGAAATGAGAGCAGGGCTGTTGTCAGCTCTTTCAAGCATTTCTTTCTGCCATCCCAGCCCTCCCCTTTCTTTACTACAACCACAACGCTGACACAACCTTTCTTTTATAGTAGGCCTACTTGCGTCCTTATAACTTACAGGCTTTAATTGTGCTGTGATAGGTGTACATTCGTATAAAGCTAGTACGCATACTTGCAACTTATAGGCCTTAATTGTGCTGTGATAGGTGTACATTTGTATAAAGCTAGTAGGCCTATTTGCGCATTTATAGCTTATAGACTTTAGCTGTGCTGTTATTGGTGTAGGCCTACATTCGTATAAAGCTATAGTTGGCCTACTTCCGTACTCATAACTTATAGGCTTTAGGTGTACAATCGTATAAAGCTATTAGGCTTACCAGTGTTGTAAGCCAGTGTATTGACTTACCAGTGTTGTAGGCCAGTGTATTGATACACCAGTGTTGTAAGCCAGGGTATTGATACACCAGTGTTGTAAGCCAAGGTATTGACTTACCAGTGTTGTAAGCCAGGGGTATTGATACACCATTTTGTAAGCCAGTGTATTGACTTATATGTGTTGTAAGCGAGAGTATTGACTTATCAGTGGTGTAAGCCAGTGCATTGATACACCAGTATTGTAAGCCAGTGTATTGATACACCAGTGTTGTAAGCCAGGGGTATTGAAATACCAGTGTTGTAAGCCAGTGTATTGATACGCCAGTGTTGTAAGCCAGGGTATTGAAACACCAGTGTTGTAAGCCAGGTTATTGATACACCAGTTTTGTAAGCCAGTGTATTGATACACCAGTGTTGTAAGCCAGGGTATTGAAACACCAGTGGTGTAACCCTAAGACTCAACACGATCAATGAACCAACCCTTCGTACATAGTGCTATTACAATGCTTGACATCACGGTTCCCGTAAAACTACTACAAATTAAGGCAATGTAATTCAACCCCGTTTCACATTACAAAATTTTGTGTTAAAAAAAAAAAAAAAAAAAAAAAAATTCCTTCTCTCCCCACCTCATGGCATTTACATCACAGTCCTTGATTATACTGGATGACTTTGTAAAAAATAACTAAGATTATTTCATTCACATCATTCATGTGTGCTTAAAGGAATTGACTTATCACCAGCACAACGCATTGTTGTTAACATAACGATCATTTGAAGATGTCTCACCACACTCAAAGCAGCCTTTATTTGCTCTTGCATGTGAGATGTACGGATGGCGGGGCATTTCTTTTGCCTGTAGATATAACAACCATTACAACAACTTAACCATTTCAATGATCATGTGACATCTTTCCTGCTGGTCTTTTGACCCGCAGTCACCACACAAATGGAACTTGAGTTTTACCATAAATAATTTTAAACCCAGTCCAACTAGGTCAACCCTTAATTTTGCACATTCATAAAGCAAAATCAGTTAAATAAAAAGAATCATAAAAAATAAAAGAAATTCAGAGCTCATTTTTAACACAATCATTTTTAACAATAAAAACGAAAGCCTCACCCCCTCACCTCCCAACTCATGGACTTTAAACCTCACCCCCCCCCCCGGCTTACATTGCCTTTTGATTCATTTGCATCCCAGCTCTCTTTAAGAAAATACAAATGTGAGCACCCCTGGCTTGCACTGTCATCACAAAATTCATCAACAAAAATGTCCTCTCCTGCACCCACCCCCGCTAATGGATTACACTCACCTCCTCAGCAACGACAAATCAAATTACACAATGGCTCACATTACATAATGGTTCACGTTATATAATGGTTCATATTACATAATGTCTTATATTACATAATGGCTCCACATTATATAATGGCTTACATTACATAATGGCTCACAGTGCATAATGGCTCACAGTGCGTAATTGCTCACATTACATAATGACTTACATTACATAGTGACTCACATTACATAATGGTTCATATTACCTATGGCTTACATTACATAATGGTTCAAAATACATAATGGCTTACATCACACATTGTTCATGTTACATAACGGCTTACATTACATAATGGTTATATTACATGATGGTTCACATTACATAATGGCTTACATTACATAATGGTTCATATTACATAATGGCTCACATTACATAGGGTTCATATTACCTAATGGCTTACATTACCTAATGCCTTACATTACATAATGGTTCATATTACATAATGGCTCACATTACATATGGTTTATATTACCTAATGGCTTACATTACATAATGGCTCACATTACATAATGGCTTACATTTCATAATGGTTAACAATACAAAATGGCTTACATGATACATGGTTCATGTTACAGAATGGCTTTCATTACATAATGGCTTATAATGGTTCACATTACATAATGGCTCACATTTCATAATGGCTTACATTACATCATGGTTCATTGATATATATATATAAACTAGCTGAATACTCTTTCTTCGCTTTCTTCGCTATGGTGTTTCAGATAGGGAAAGGTGTAATATAACTATATGCAAATGTTATAGCATTTTAAAACTTTCATTTCTTGGTAGAGCGCAGCGAATTAGTCACCTGGATGGGCTGAAGAGTTTTAAAAGAAATTTTCGGTAAAATATATCAACATTAATGAGTTGTAGGTCCAACAACGATCAGATTATTTGGTTGAAGCCCTTTGTATCCACCACAAAACCTAGAATTTAGCTATACGTAACCATGCAATTGACTTGCTTAGAATTCACGTATATACCTTACCAAATATCTTCCTGTAAATTCTCATATCCTGTTTGGAGAAGTACGTTTAATTAATACCTCTGGCTTTAGATCACTTTGAGATGAACCATCATGTTGACTCACTAGAATTCGTACTTGGACTTTTGGACATATGTGGGCTGACTTAAGACATTTAGGACATATGTGGGCTGACTTAAGACATTTAGAACATATGTGGGCTGACTTAAGACATTTAGGACATATGTGGGCTGACTTAAGACATTTAGGACATATGTGGGCTGACTTAAGACATTTAGGACATCTGTGGGCTGACTTAAGACAGTTAGGACATCTGTGGGCTGACTTAAGACGTTTTGACCTCATCCCGAGGAATGGTGGCCGGTGTCTGTCTAAAGTCAATGGCGAGCAGCAAATAAATCCCACCCATTAGGCATTTACTTCTCCAGATGTCCCGAAGAGTTCTATCCTATTCTTCTATTCCCCATGCTGTTAGCTACTGTTCACTCATCTCGAACAATCAACTGGCAATCTCGAAGCACATGACCTGTTTCGAAAGGTTGCACAACTGAGTCTCAGAGTGGTTTGGGGGAGAGACAGTTTGAATGCAGAGCGAGCATGCAGTCTATCCAAAGCCCAACAAGGTTTCTGCTATACATAAGAAAGCTACAGAAAATCGAGATGTATCCTAAATCCTTAATCTCAATGTATCCTTAAGCTCAATGTATCCAAAATTCATTATTCCAACATTCACGGAAAAGAGACATGGCTTTAGAAAATTGAAAATGTAATTATTTAAAAAAAAAAAAAAAAAAAAATTTTTTTTTTTTTTTTTTTTTTTTTTGTATCTATCAACACGTGTTTCAATAAAGGGTTGCCAAACGTGCATACATTCACGGAGGGTTCGTAAAAATTCGACCTAAAATAACTAGTCCAATAAAGTCCATAGGAACTTTTGGATATCCGTAAAATAGGAAATGACAGCGTTTGTGATTTCTTCTTATTGGTTTTAAAGTTGCATGATAATAAGCAGAAGATATTAAACTCTGATGAGAACTCCATTCAATAAATTAACGCTATAAAATTTGAATCTGCTATTATTATGTTCAAATGACATAGATAATAGAGTCAATAGAAAAAAAAACACCAAAGTTATCTTACATTCATTGGCATAGCTAGGATTGAATTGGTGCCGTCCGGGGGGGGGGCTAAAAAAATAATTCCACAAACCAAAAGCTGCAGGTTTCCCAACATGCCCCACGGGGGCGAACCCCCCCCCTCCCCTCATTCCTAAACCACTGGGTTTTTTTATATACAATTTTTTTTTTTAAATTTGAGCTTCATATTCTCAACAAGTTTATTTTAAAATGTCTCTATAAAAAAAAAAAAAAATCACAATATTTGTAAGTAAATGTTATTGTTTGCTCGATTTTGTACTATGCAACTCTGTCTTGCGTCAATGTATCCAGTGGCGTTCGAATGAGGGATGGATGGGTGGTCCACCCCGGCCCGGGCGCCACTTATTTTTCTTGGGCGGCTTTTTCAGCCAGTTTTTACGTGGCAATAATCATGACTATATCTGTTTAGCCAATAATTTATTTTATACCGGATTGGTTCACACGAACCCGAGTTCCATCTCTGCGGTAGGCAGTGAGTCAGTGAAAATAAAACAGTTACTGCATCTCCGGTCTAAAGATGAGTAACTTAAAAGTAGTCCCCGAATAAGTAATTGGAGTTTTTATAAATTTATTTATTTCGTATTTCGTTTCATTTCTAGATACCTATTTTGAATGTGTACCGTTTTAGCTCAAACACGTTGCCAATTGGTATTACTAATGTTCGTTTTAATATAAAAATTACGTATTATTATTAAACTTTTTTTTATTTATTTGTAAAAAAATGAAAATTAAATTATAAAAGTTTAATTAAAAATATAAATATCTTTTTCCAAAAAATTTAAGTTCTAATATTCCGGTTTAAAAAAATATACATTTCATTTTAGCATGAGTTCCTGGCATTTAATTTAATGGGTCAGAAACACGCTCGTAGTTAGCCTGAAAGACAACGCGTAGCGAAACCAAATTAAACATAAGGCAGCGATTAGGTAAGCTATTTATTGATTTACAGTAGAGGTATACCCCAACATTGTCAGAATTAGTATATTAACATGACAAATCTCCGGTCATTTATTAAATGTAATACTCAGAAACAAATAACTAACTCACTGTCCACCGTCGTATAGGCTAATACTAATATTATTAATTATTCATTAATATTTTTATTATAAATATTATTTAAGTCTGTTCAATTAAATAAATATAAAATTCCACCAAAGGTAGCCAAGACCTAATTTTAAAAAATAATATAACTTATGCCTTTCTAATGAGTATGATCATACTTATTAGATGACAGTACACTGAGTGATATATAATATAATTATAAATATAATATATATATGAATTGAATATGCCATGACTTGTACTTGTTAATGTTAGAGGTTCTCCATTAATTGTCAACAAAATGGGGGTTGGGGTGAAAATAGTTGACAAGGGGGAGGGAGGTTAGATTGGTTGAAGTCAACAATCATGTTTTCTCTATTAAAATTTTGTCTTTAAAAGTTGACTGGTTATTACTGTTACTATTACATTATTTTAACATTAAAAACTTTAGATACATAAATTTTAACTTGTTCATTAACATACACTCCATACAGATGCAATAAAATGTTTTTCCTACAATTTTGTGTTATTAAAATTAAAATAGATCAGCACAAAGGAAAATGTATTTTAATTTATATTACCGGGCTTATATTCCCGGGTACAATTCATTTTTTTTTTAGGGAGGAGGGGGTTATTAAAATGTTGACATAATTTAATTTCCGGGGATGGGGGGGCATTGAAAGTTTGACAGTTGACGGAGAGGGGGGAGCGGCAAAAATTGCTTTAAAATTTTTAAAATTTTTGCCGTTATCAATAGACTTGTAGTTGTAGTCATTAATTAAAATAATTACTTGTTTTGTTATATTACTTAGGCCTATAATAAAATATTAATTATAGGCTTCTACTTTTCTTTTACTTTTAGCAAATATTAATTTTAATTTGTTTTTATTATGTTTCAGAATTTGATAATGGGTCGACGTAAGAAGGCAAATAAACCTCCACCAAAACGCAAAGCCATTGTTCCTCTTGATACTCTGTTTAACTGCCCATTTTGTAATCATGAAAAGTCATGTGAGGTTAAATTGTAAGTATCAATGTCATTATATGCTAAAAAATTTTTATTAAATTTAAATCTTCATCTTCTTTATTTTCTGGCTGAATTTATTCAAGAATCGAGTAGCTGCAATTTAGCCATTTTCTAACTTAAGCAAGAAATGTTTACTAAAGTCGGCATCCAGTGGAGATTTTACAATTGGTTTCCTAATCTCCAAAAACAATTACGGTACTTTTTTAATGCACCAATTTCCCAGCTATGTTACCAATACCTTTAGGACAATTCATACTCATATCTTTTGGTCAAGGCATGAAATGTTTCTGCTGCAACTTGGGAAAAGGTGAAACTTGTTGCTAATTATGATTTTCCATAATATATGATAATGGTAAAACAATTAAAACCCATTTAAAACTAGACCAGAGAAAATAAAAAAGTTTGGGAACCACTGATTTGACAAAACTGCGAGGAAATTTATTTGCAGCTAATTATAATTTTGATGGAGCAATGGTTCTGAAATGTATGGCAGGGGCAAACAAAATCTATCCAGGATCATTTTTTATTTTGGCGTTTTAATTTGTCTGGTGTTGCTTTTATGATATAACTACAAAAAGCTTTCAAATTTGAAGTGATGTAATTTTACATCAGCAAGAAATGCAAACATTTTTGCTATTTCCAGAGCACCTATAAATTCTATAATATTTTGTAACATTGATTGCTACTGGAACATAACTTCCACTTCTAATTTTCGCTGAAATAACTTTTTTTTTTTTTTTTTTTTTTCAATTTTTCTATTTTTTCTTTTTTTTTTTTTTTTTTTTTTTTTTTCTTTTTTTTTTTTTTTTTTTTTTTTTTTTTTTTTTTTTTATAATATTTTTTTTTTTTTTTTTTTTTTTCAAGTTTTCAATTTTATCTATGTATTGTATATACATAATTTGTTTCTTTCTATTCTTTAGGGACAGAGAAAGAAATACAGGAATAATAACTTGCAATGTGTGTTTGGAGGACTTCCAAACCAACATAAATTGTATCCTTTTGTTATAAAAGAAAAATATGTTTAATCAGTGGAAACAATAGGTTTTCATTGATCATTTTCTTACAATCCTTTTTTTAGCATCAAATATAGGTTTAATAAGGTACTGCCAATTTAAATTTCAAGCAACATCTATTTAGACAGTTATCTACGTTCAAACAATAGTAATTGCTTTCCATTTAAGTATAAAAAATTGGTATCGATAGACAAAATGTTGGTATATCAAAATGACATTAAACGATAGATATTTCTTGTTGCTTCTATTTGTCCTTAATAAAATGTCAGACCTTTCAGAAGCTGTTGATGTTTATGGTGATTGGATTGATGCTTGTGAGAGTGCTAATCAGTAGCGAAGGCATTTGTGGTTTGGATCAGTCGAACCACAAACATTTTTTTTGGATTTGTTGCTCATCAGATGGTGCATAGCTTGTGATGAATGTATTTGTGAGATGATATGGATTCATTAGTTTGCAAGCTTGGGGTCCAGGTCAGCTTGTCTTGGAGTTAAATCAAAATGGGAGTTCATTGCATCCCTGTGAATGGAGAAATCTTTTATGGGCATCGACGCATTTAAGATATTTGATAATAATGGTTATGACGCATTATTATAGGTTGCAAGGGTTAGTGCAGCATATCTGTCCTGTGTTATAAAGATAAAAAATTGGATAGTTTATGTAACTATTTTACAGATAGTTAAGTTATAGTTAACTTGAGTGTAAAAGATTACATTTGACTAAATTTAAATTAATTTTCTAGAATTAAAAAAAAAAAAATTTAACACTTATAATGATTTGAATTATTTAATTGTGGTAACATTAGACTGATGTGTTTTTAGATTTACTTGAATCTCTTTAAGTAAAAATTTCATGAAATCTCTTTTCTGGCAGAGATGTGTTGCTTTTGACTTAGAAATGAGACTAGTTATTAGTATGCATTTTGCACCCCTACCTTTTAAAGTGTATTGAAATTAATTAATTCTTTGTCTTAAAAAATGTCACCTTTTCTTCTAAATTGCTGCAATATTTTATGTATTTTATTAGCCTGTTTTGATCTTAAAATTACAGTATGTGGATCTGTTTTTTAAAAAGGAATTATTACTGTTCTAACCATTTTATAAAACTGAAGGCTTTATAATTAGATGTAGATACCAGTATTTTTTTAAAGACAACATAATTTTTTTTTAAAGTTTCATCCTGTTTATATTGATTCTCTAAAATTTTGTTATATTTTAAAGCTTGTGTAGTTGTGATTTATGTGTGTGTGTACAATTGCTATGTATTGTATGTGTATTATTAGTAATATTGAATTGTTCTGTATGTGCACAACTGATCTGTTGCGAATGTGTACATTGATGTGGATGCTAAAGATGAATGTAATGTGGCGCATAAAGAGAAAAATGAGACAGCATTGGATTATTTATTTTAACTAATGTTAATATTCTGAATGTAAATTGTAAAATGACCAATCAGATTTACGACATCAGGCCATCGTTGCTAGTATCTTGAACCTCTTTTATATCCATGTATGTCCCTCAATCAGCAAGGGCAAATTTTATAGCCAATTTCTGTCTCTGAATCGGGACTCTGCTACTGGTACTAAAGTAAAAATGGGAACTCCAAAATACTATTTTCCCAATTTTAGATGTGTTCGGTACTTCACATTGTCATTTTATGTTGAGAAAAGAAACTCAACAAAAATTGTTTTTATGAACCACAATGTGCTAAATTAATTGTGATACTGGTGCTAGTAGTGCCAAAGCAAAGTCTAGTAGGCTGTTCTATCAGAATTATAGTGCATCATTCACAACATTTCATGTGACAAAAATATTTTATATTTCATGAAAACAAGTGTCTGAATGAAGATATAAATTCAATAATAAAGCTTTGTTTTTATTATTTGATTTTAGAATTTGTTTTTTTGCCATTTTTGTCTAGATTTTTCATTATAATTATAATGTGACCTTAACCTTTGTTGAACCTCAAGGCATATTCTAACATCAGTACCGGTACAGCCATGTGCTCATAGAAAATCTTTCCCAGCTTACATCTGATAGTAAACTTTTGGTGCTTAAAAATTTTTGTGATTTTAATATTTTCTTCTTGTACTGATGTCAGCAATGGTTAGTCTCTGAATCCCAAGCAAGAGACTGTACATTTTACTTTTACATTAAAAAGTCTTTTTAAGAATGAATGCTGCTGTGGCTATGGAGAATGCCCCCTGTCAGTCGGTCAGTGGGGATGTTGGTGGTGGGGGGGGGATGGGGTGTTATTGAAGTCAAACATCACCAGGTTCAAAATGCTTGTCAAATAATGGAACAAATAAATAAGAAGAATAATCCAGAACTATATGAATCATAACAGTGACAGTATCTGTTTAAAATGGTAGTGTTTAGCTTGTACAGAGGTTTGAATGTTGGAGGTACAACAATGGTAGCCATAAAGTGAAAAAAAAATTATTGATCATCTACCGTTACCCTTTGTGTAGTTGTAGTTTGGATAATAAAGTGAATCCATTGACATGTAGCACATCTGTTAAGTAACCACATATTTAATATTGTTTTTGTTTTTGATGAGTGAGAAATGTTAATCCATAGAGACTTACCTGTTTCAACCAAATGATTGCAATATTTTTTTGTATTATTAATACTTAAAATTAAAACATGATTGTTTTCAATTAAAAGTAAAAGATCTCCATTGATGGGGAAAAAGCTTTAGGAATATTTTTATTCTGTTTCTGAAACAAAAAATCATATGAGTATCAGTGCATTTGTTTAAAAAAAAAATACCATATTTATTTACACTTTTGACCTTAATAAAGTTAATTTTCATCATAGTTTTATTGTTTCATAGAGTATCAGGGCATTTCTAAAATTTTCACCATATTTATTTACTTTTACTTAAGCCTTAATAAAGTTAATTTTCACAGTAGTTCAACTTCTTTTATGGTATTGGTACTTCAATACTATGGCCATAACAATTTCTGTGAAAAATCTCCTCCTTCTTGCCTCACAATATTACAATCTAAGTTGGAGCTCTTATACTTTTAAGTTGTGTCTGTCTTTTTTTTGTTCTAAATGTCACACACACACACCCTTCCCCTCCCCCCCCCCCCCC